ATGTAATGTTTAGTATTCACAACATAGCAGCACATTAAAAATTCATTGTTTTGGTGTCTTTTCTCAGTGTAACTGGCTTCCCTACTTCCCAGCTTCATTTTGTCCCTGAAGGACAGAGCAGCAAGGGCCGGGTCTCGGACCAGGGAGTACTGGGCTCAACCTCCCTGACTCAGTTTATCCATATGTACATGGAGGATGACATCACTGTCTTCGTGGTGCTTCTCCGTTGTAAGGATCAAGTGAGGACACAATGAAGCAAAAGCTCTTGATGCCAACCGGGTGTCCAGGGGCTTTGACCACTGTGGGCTCCCTTTTTCCTCCACTCCAAGAGCCAGCACTAAGAAACTTCCTGCAAAGACTCACCTCCTGGCCTGGGTGTCAAGTGCAGGGCAGCAGATTCGGAGAAAGGAAGGGTGCTCGACAGCAGACGTCCTATTCGTGTGAAAAATTAGAGGAGGATGTTCACAAGCAAGAACAATGGAAGCGTTATGGTTAGAGAGTGCCAGGAGACAATGCTTCCCCCTCCTGAGGTTCCTCACCGTCCCCTAGACCTGAGGGGAGGAGGGCAGTGTCACTGACTGGTGGCTTTAGAAGAATCCCCGTGCAATTACTGCCCAGGGCTGCCTTGTTCCCTCTTTGGGAGCCAGCCTGCGCTCAGAGAGCACACGCAGAGGTGCACCGACTGCACCTCCCAGTCGGACCCCCCACTCTCAGTCTGGGGAGGACCATCTCCCTCTGGGGTTCAGACACAAGCCTTCTGGCTCCCACACTCTGCTACATTCTCCAACCTGGGCTTTCCTCCATGTTGGCCTCTGTCTACCATTTCTTTCCTTTATTTCCCAAATTGTCCAGGTCTCAGATGGGTAAGAGGAACGGCATTTATTGATTTTCCCCTTGGAGACCGCTGTATGCAATGACAGTTCTTGACACTGCTCCACCAGAAATAAAGATGTGGGCAAAAAAGACAGTCCCATTCCCCATCTGCCCACCCTGCTCCTCACACTTAGTCCTTGAGTTTCTGCAACAGGATGGAGAAGCTGAACATCGTTAGCATGTGTTCCAGGAGTCCAGGTATTTAAATGCACACACACAAAAAAACAGTTATGAAATGTATTGGCTACCATGTCTCCTGTTTCCTTTTCAGGAAATATTCAGATGCCCATGTCATATAGACACGATATTAAGAAATATATTTGAACCGTTCAGTTTCCACCTAGAAATCAGATGGGATTTTTGTGTTCTCTATGTAATGCAAGCCCACAGGTGACTTTGGGCCATGACTTTTCCCCTCACTGTGTCCCATAAAAATATCTACTGGCCATGTCGTTATGGAATCAGTTTGATCAAGTTGGTGATTAGACTATCGAGGAACAGACGAGCCATGAGACTGTTAAGAATGAAGCAGATAAAAGAACAAGCTATGTGACTGTTTTGTTTTTCAATTAGCCACACAGTGCTGTGTGGAACGGCCACAAGGAGCTCTGCGGGCAGGTGGTCAGGTCTGGCGGTGAAGCAGCCGGAGAGACAGCCCCCTTGGGATGAAGAGGGCACAGCCTGCCATTATGGGCACCTCCAGTCGTCTCCTTGCCCTTTGCTCAGCAGGCTTGAGGGAAGTAGCCGCGTGCTCCTCCTGATCAATTACTATAGGTGAAGGAAACATGACGAGTGTTCCCTGCACCTCTGCCCCTCCCCCGGGTGGCTGCACCTGCGTTTCTCATAATGAGTCACCTGTACCTAGCGACATAGGAACCTTCAGCTTTTAGAAAGTTGTTTGTGACCCTCAAAAGTGTTTATTTATAGTTATAATTCATTTAGTACATGAATTATTTGGAGACAATGGATATTTTCTAACAACAATTCTTGGCAAAAAAAAAAAAAATCAAGATATTCAGATGGGATTCATTTGATACAATAAATGGCCTAAACATCTCCAACTCTGTTTATTCTTATCTCCGGACTTGTCACAGACACATCCCCTTTGATTATGATGTGGGATGGATTTTTAACTCTTCCAGCCCTGGAGAACCTTTACTATCATTTAACAAAATATATGTGTGTATTTTAATTTTTGAGACAGAGTCTCACTGTGTTGCCTGGGCTCGAGTGTAGTGGCATCATTATAGCTCACAGCAACCTCAAACTCTTGGGGTCAAGCGATCCTCCTGCCTCAGCCTCCCGAGTAGCTGGGACTACAGGTGAGTGCCACTGTGCTCGACTAATTTTTTTCTATTTTTTGTAGTAAAGAGGTCTTGCTGTTTTTCACTCTGTCATCCCCCCTTGGCCTTCCAGAGTGCTGGAATTACAGGTGTGAGCCATTGTGCTCAACCTTACCAAAACAATTTAAAGAAGGAAAAGTTTTTCAAAAGCAAAGGACCCACAGACCGGACCGACCTGGGAGCGTGTCTGACGGAGGAGCAGCTCCGGGCTCTGCGCTGGGCGTGGGGGCCGGAGAACCATCAGCACCTGATCAGGACAGCAAGCTCTATGAGGTTGTTTATCTGCACAGTCCAGTGGCCTCTGTTAGTGTCAGCCGACTGTGACCGTGGCAAGGTCGTGCGAGGTGACAGCCCTCACCTGCACAGACGACGCCGGCGTCCTCCAGGTGCCCGCAGTTGTGCCCAGCCCGGCCCCCGTGCGCGCACTGCCCCAGGTGGCTCTCGCTGCCCACGCACTGCACGTCGTCCAGCAGGATGTGCCCAGAGCCTGCCCCGAAGTGGGCCCCTGTGGGGGCTGCCACGGCCCGGCCACACTGCAGCTGGCGGCACACGACGGCGGCCTCGGCCAGGTCCCAGAGGTCGTCACACACGGTCCCCCACGTGCCCTGGACGAGGACCTCCACGCGGCCTGAGCACCTCCCGGTGCCGTTCAGCAGCCTCACCTCCAGCCGGGCTCCTGGGGAGGCACAACAAGGAGGGGTGCTGGGGCCCAGCTCTCCAGGCTCTGGAAAGTTTCCTTCAAATCCCTGGGTGGTCGTATCTTCGTTACACAACATGCAAGATGTCCCCACATGTTAAGAATCGCTAGAATCGTCTTCAATTTCTAATAATTGCACTTTGCTGTGCAAAGGCAGGAAAGGCATCCTGCCTTTCAAAAGGTAAAACTCGGGAGGGGGTGGGCAATATATGTAAACTTAACACTTGTATCCCCATAATACGCTAAAATAAAAAAAAATTTTAAAAAAGGTGAAACTCTGTTAAAGAAACTTCCAGAACTCCTAAGGTTCTCCTAACAAGACCATTTTTATCTATATGTCATTCCTCTGGCATGGCCAGGGACAAAAATATGAGATGTTAATACATTTAATGAAATAGTAAACCAGACTCTCTGTAGGCACATCATAGCTAAACAGAAGCCTTGCCATCCAGAGCTACATTAGCATTAGTACAACCTGGTCCCTATGGTCTTTCTTAATGGCCCTCCTATGAATAGGAAACTAAGAACAAGAACTAACATTTATTTGTAGTTTGTGAGTTAAGTGCCAGAGCCTCCATGAGCCACCAATTTAAACATTTCTCTCTTAATCTTCACTATAGATATTGGGTCCCCCACTTTACAGATGAAAAAATTGAGACTCAGAAGGGTTAAGAAAATTAACCCTCAATCCATCAGTTTGTACTGTAAGTGGGCTGTCTCCCGAGTTAACAGTGTCTGTGGTTTCCGCCAGCGTGGGGGAATGCCTCTCCCGGGGCCGTCCATCCGCCCTGGACCTCTCAGGAACCCCACCCCCTACCTGCAGGTGGAGGAGTCAAGGCCTCAGTTGCTGTGGTCCATGACGGCTCCGAGAAGACGTCAACTATAAAGAACAACAGACTTGGGTCACTCCCAGTCAGTAGGGTGGAGAGACAGAAGTAAACACACGGCAGGAAGGACTCATCCTAAGACCCAATACCCTCTGTCACTTTGTGCTTTCTTTTTTTTCTTTTTTCTTTCTGATTCATCTAAGTCAGTCACCATCATTCCCATCAAACGAATTGTATAACTTTTTACTCTTCTGTATATGTTCATGATAAACTCATCCTTGAATGCTTTGCTCAGTAGAAATAAATATTTTCAAAATAGAATGTCTTTTTAAAGACTTGAAGACAACACACTTCAGGAAAGCAGTGTCGACAAGTTGATGGTGCTGTGTGGCGTCGTTCATTCTAAAGTGTTTCCCGGATGCAAAGAAAGCAGGGAGCCTGCGTGTAAAAGGATTATCACTCGGCCAAAAGCCAGACCGAGTATACGTGCAACTGTAATATGCAGTGATCATGAGAGATGTCAATGGAAAGAGTACAAAGGTAGAGAATATGTCTCCTTGTGGAGACCAGGGGAAGCCACCTGGAGAGACAGAGAGCATCCTTAAGACTCCAGCGAGTGGAAGAGAAAGGAGGAGCGCCCCCTTCAGGCGGTGCGAGTATTAGAGAACAGCAACCTTGATTTTAGATACTCAGGGAGATGACATGATAAGTATTTTAATTTGATTAGAATACCTTGGTAGCATATGTATTAATCCCAAATACTTGGATTTCAGTACTTTCCTTACTCACATTATGCAGAAACTTCCTAAGAGATGGGACATGAAGAAAAGAGAATTTGGGTCAAGTGTATTTCATAACTATGGCATCCTATGACTTCTAGTGGGGATTTTGTAGGGTTAATTGTGTATTAAGGGCTCCTACACATTCTATAGTAAAGAAACCCTGTTTGATTTGTTTGATTTGCAGTGTTTCCTAAACTCATAGGACCATAGAACCCGAGTGTGTGTGTATCTTTGCATGGGTGTGTGCACAAGTCATCTTATCATTTTGTTGAACTAGTGGTTTTAGGACCACATTCTCACAAATGTGTCTATTTCACTACCTCAAGGATGCTGATAGGAGCGGGAGATGCCTATCAATATTGGTTATGTTTTCATTTTTGTTTTTATTTCTAGAAAGATGAACTCTCTTTATAAACTTTAATAAATATATAGGATATAAAGTTTCACTGTAAACTCAAAAAAGGAATATTTTATGTACTTATTGGTGTTTGCTGTTCCACAGAGGTGATGGATTCAGTCGTTGCTTCAGCAACTATGGTGAGAAGAAAATGTCAATTAGTGATGAACAGCACCCCACAGAGACAAAACCGAAGCTGAGAAAAGGCAAAGCTACCTGGCACTCTGAATAAATTCTAGTTTTCCTTTGTGAAATGTAGCATAATAAGCCAGTTCTAAAGGGCTTACTGAGTTTCTAACCTAAAGATGTGATTGCTCTCCCCTGAGATCTAATACTTATTCCATCACATATTACAGATAAAATATTCCTGATCTGTAAAACTGGGAATCAGATCTGATAATAAACAGGAAAGAGGTTTTGTAAATCAAGAAGTGAATAAATTCAAAAAAATATCATGATGTTCCCAATTCAAAAAATGCTTCATTATTTTGGAAAATATAATTCACTAGCAACACAAATGAAATATTAAAGTTTAAAAATCTTTAAATGCCTTTTATGATAGCATCCCAAACTATGAAATGCTTATGGTTAATTCTAATAAATGTATGGAAAATTTGACTCAGAATATTGATGAGATAAAGACCTAAATAAATGAAGAGATATATTGTGTTGATGGATCAAAAACTTAATGTTGTTGAAATGTCAATTTTCTTTAAACTTATATATAGACTCAACACAATCCAAATTAAAAATCCCAGCAGGAATTTTTTGTAGAAACTGATAAGTCAATTATTTTGTGGGAATGGTTACACAAGGTATATTTGTACCAAAACACCATGTTTACACCTTAAATATGTACAATTTTATATTTGTCAATCATACCTCAATAAAACTGGAAAAACAAATTTACATAAAAGGCAAAAAATCTAGGTTAGACAAACAATTTTGCAAAAGAAGAAGAAAAAATGAAGTTGGACAACTCACACTACCTTATTTCAATACTACTTTAAAGCTAATCAAGACAGTGTAATATGGGCATGAGGATAGTTACACAAATCAGTGGAACAAAATGAGGGGTTCAGAAATAGACCTATGGATATATGGTTATTTAATTTCTTTCTTTTTTTTTTTGAAACAGTCTCTTATTCTGTCTCCCAGGCTAGAATGTAGTGGTGCCATGGTAGCTCACTGCAAACTTATACTCCTGGGCTCAAGCAATCGTCATGCCTCAGCCTTCTCAGTAGCTGGGACTATAAGCCACCAGGCCTGGCTAATTGGTTATTAAATTTTCAACAAAAGTGGCAAGGTATTTCAATGGAGATAGGAGAGTCTTTTCAACAAATGGTGTTGCACTGATTAGACATCTACATGAAAAAAAAAAAAGCCCTTGACCTATATCTTAAACCATTTGCAGAAGTCAGCTAAGATGGACCATAGAGCTGAATGAAAACCCTAAAACTATGAAACTTCTGGAAGAAAGCAAGAGAAAATCTGGGAGACCTTTGGTTAAGCAAAGATTTCTTAGACGAAACATAAATGCACAATCTATTAAAGAAAAAATCTTGGTGAACTTGACTTTATTAAAATTAAAAAATTCTGCTCTTCAAAAAACACTGTTAAGAACATGAAAAGATAAACCACGAGACTGGGAGAAAATTTTTGCAAAATTCATATCTGACAAAGTACTTGTATCCATAATGTACAAATAACTGTCTTACAACTCAGTAATAAGAAGACAAACAAGTCAGTTTTTCAAAAAAAGGATAAAAAGATATGAACTGACACTTCACAAAAGTAATGTAAAGCACATGAAAAAATGTGCAGCATCATTAGTTATTAGAGAAATGCAAATTAAAACCACAAAAAGACGGTACTGTCTCATTACAGTAGAGATACTATACTGGCCCAACTTAAAAAATAGACAATCCAAAGTGTTGGCAAGGACGGAGAGCAACTGTGATTCTCATAAATTGCTGGTGGGAGTGCAAAATGGTACACTTTGGAAAATAGTTTGCAACTTGTACATAAATGTGTGTAGTAGCTTTATTCATAATGGTGAAAATAGGAAATAAAATTTCCACTAAGTGGTAAAAGGATAAACAGATTTTAGTACATTCTTGCAGTGGAATACTCAGCAATAAGAAAGATTGAATGTCTGATACAGGGAACTACATGAGTGAATCTCAAAAGCCTTATGTTCAGTAATGAATCCCAGCACAAAATGCTACACATTGTCTGATTACAGTATATGATACTCTGGGAAAAGACAGACCTATAGAGACAGAAATCATATCAGTGTTTACCAGGATCTGGGGGTCAGGAGAAGGATTTAACTAAAGGAGCACAAGAACTTTACAGGGTAATAGAAATGTTTTATATCTTGATGGTAGTGATGGTTACACAACTGTGACCATTCATTAAAAATTTTTTTAACTACAAGGTAGTTTTTACTGTAAGTAAATTATACTTCAATAAGCCTGACTTTTTAAAAAAGTAACTCTGACTGTATGTAAATAACGGGCTAGAATGCTGGGAGCCTGGCAGGGAAGCCAGGTAGGGGAATCTGGGGTCATCTAGGCAGGCAGAGGCAGTGAAGGCTTGGGTCAGGACAGTGGCTGTCAGATGAAGAGGATCATGAATGCAACTCCAGGTTTGCAGCTATAAATGGAAAATTAATTCACCCACAGAGACCTGTCTCTTTGCAGAATGCTAGATATCCAGACATTTGCAGATGTCTTAGTAATTTACTTAAATATTTCTGTTTGGATGTTAAGCCCTCTTTCTATAGATAAAACCATAAAAACACATAAACTGAAAACGGCCAGGGAAGTGGCTCACAAGTGCGAAGTTTGACTTACCAGATAGACTAGTTTTTGACGATAATGGTTCTGGTGGTGGCGGTAATGACGGTATTGATGATGATGATGGCAGCGATGAGGGTGGCAATGATGGTGACAATGGTGAAGATGACGATGATGAGGAGGATAGTGATGAAGATAATGACAATTCTGCATCTATTTATTAGGATAAGAAATATTCCTTGTTGGTTATGTGTTAATACAGCAGTTCTCAAATTGTGGCCCCCAGACTACGCAACATAGCATCCTAGACTTGTTAGAAATGCAAATGATCACTCCCCACCCTAGACCTACTGAGTCAGGAGCTCAGGGTGGGGCCCACAATCAATGTTTGAATAAGGCCTCCTGATGATTCTGATGCACAAACTTTGAAGACCCCTGCTTTAGGATAAAAAAGTGATTGAAATGGCCCCATGGCATCACCTACTGGCAGAGGTACTCTGAAATCACAGACGTACACAATTTTCAATTAATGTCATTTCTTTGCCTGTTAGGAAAAATCAGGCTTTACAGAATCCAGAGGGATAAATTTCTGATCTAATCACTCTGGAAAGTGAATGGCAATTTACTGGTAAATAAGTGGTTTGTGAAGACTGATGGGCATAGGCATAGTAGATTATACCCTGAAGTCAAAGATTATTAATTATGGTCCTTAAGTGGCCACAGAAGAGTCTTATCTCGCCTGCAGCTGTCTGGGAAGTTAGTTCTGACTTGGAAGGTCCCTGCACCCGGATGACTGGGCACTGCCAGCTACTTCCTAACTTCCTCTTTGCTCATCTTGCTAATGCGGAGTTCCCCGCCAAGCCTCACTCCAAACAGTGCCTGCGATCGACCCTCGGGCAGCTGTGCAGCAGAAGGAAGGGCTGCCGTAGCCAGGGTTGGCAGGTTTCGAGGGAAGGAGAGCCTGAGAGGGAACTCAGCACGGCTGGCTGTGCCCTGGGTCTCCCAGTGGGCTGAGATTTTAACCGGGAAAACCTCCTGGGCTTCAAGTGAGTATGAACCATTCCAGCCGGCCTCTGCAAGCTGCTTAAAGCTTGATTTTGCAGGCTCGCTTCCATCCCATTCCCATCCCACAGAGCGGATATTAGCTAGACTGCCAGACAGAACCCGAGCAGGTGGAATGGGACACAGAAATGGCCCCAATCCGTCTTACCTGCAGGGGTGGGGCCGGCCGAGAGAGAGCCTGTTAGTGTGGAGGGAGAGACATCAGCGCTCTCCGCGGGGGACAATAGCCCACTCTGCCCAGGAGCCGGGGAGCAGCGCAGGGAGACCCCTCACCCGAGCAGATGGCCCCGGCGTCCTCGTCGTGACCACAGTTGTGAACGAACCAGCTGTCGTGGGCGCACTGGGCCAGGCAGCCCTCGTCACCGCTGCAGCGCACGTTGTCCAGGACCATCCTCCCGAAGCCTGGGCCGAAGTGGGCGCCGAGCGGGGCAGACACGGCCGCGCCGCACCCGAGCTGCCTGCACACGACGCGCGCCTCGCTCAGGCCCCAGCCGGCGCCGCACACCGAGCCCCAGGTGCCCTGGTAGGAGACCTCCACCCGTCCGGCGCATCTGCCCGAGCCGTTCACCAGCCTCAGCGCCGGCCAGTCTCCTGTGCAGACGGAGGTGGGGCAGGCTCTCGGATCGGACCTACCCAAGCCGCCCATGTGCCTGGCTTTCGAGTTAAGGTGAGATTGTGATGGCCCCAAATACGTAAGAACACGCTAGGGAAAAATCGCTTAACAGCGACACCACATCGCGATGCCTTCTTTGTTAGGTGAGATTGTGGGGCAGGTATTTCTCATGCCTCGGTGCTATGGGGCTCGACATCAGCGGGGTGGCCGTGGGAATTCAGGAAAATATTTTTCAATCCGTGGGGAAAATGGATTAAGTTAAATCGGTCTGTTCCCAAAATGGAACGCTCTATAGCAGTGAGATAGACACACACGTATGCAAAGTAGACTTGCCTCAAAACCACAACGTGGAGTAAAGAAAGAAGGTGTATCAAATGATATGCAGAGACTGCAAAAATTTGCGTGAAAGAAAAAAACCCACAAAATAGCATTGAAATAACTTAATTCACACATGTAAAAATGAACTATAAGGATATTTACAAAATCCAAAAGAGTGTGTGTTTATTAGGAAGGAGAAATAAGAAACTTAGTTAGATTGAGGAATATTGGGCGTGTCACATTTAATTCTGTTTTATCTCGTGATAGGACTGGAAAACCACCACCACAGAGCATAAGCATCAGTCATGTCTAGGTAGGGAAGTTGTGGTTATTTGCTTTCTTATTATCTTGATTTTCTGAACTTTAAAATGTTTCTCCTGGGTAGCAGGGAAAGGAGGATGACCAGCTGCCACGCTGTCTGGGAGGCCCAGCTGATCGTCCCTGTCCTAGAGGCTGGTGCGTGACTTCCCCACACACCTCAGCCGCCTCCACCTGTGCAGGGCCCCCAGGCGCCTTCCCTGCTGGAAGAACCCCCATGCCTCACCCCCCGAGAGTACAGGCACGTCCTGCAGGAAACTGCTTACCTGAGAGGCAGGGCCCAGGCACATTGGCTCTGCGGCCTGCAGACACTGAGTCGGCCACAGGTAGAACTGGAACAACACGGAAACGGTGATTAGGACTGATGTGTCCCTTCCTGGGACAGACACAGGACATATGGGAAATGGACCCAGCTAGCAGCTGGCAAAGAGCCACCAGCTATGCCACACCTTAACCAAAACATCTGGACAGGCTACGGGCTCATAAAGAACCGTCAGATTTCTGATGAGGTTGGGGAAAGAAAGCTCCTAAATGTGATCCTTCTGCCCCCAAGTACCTTTCCCCCTTTTAGCCCTACATCAGTTCCAGGTTCTGCCTGAGGGTGCTCAGCAATTGTATTAATAAAAATAAGCCATTGATGAATTGGGCAAAAGTTGTAAAAAAATCATTGTGTTCATAAGAACACTGATGATCTGAGACAACTCCCCCGAGGACATTATTACAATCTGGTGGTCCATCTGCCCATCTGCCACGTACCTTCCCCCTCTGGACGGTGAGACTGCATACCTACAGGACTAGTGCTGGGACCACGGCTCTTACCCACTAAGACAGTTGGTGACTTTTCGTTGTCTGCTGAGACTGAAAAATAAAATATTTGTTAGAATATTTTTCATTAGTTTGCTCACGTGTGAAATACTGGAACTTCTCTCTGAGGAGGGATATTTGTGCAGATAGTGGCTGCTGGTGTTTTTCAGAGGGATGCCTGTGTCTCTTGAGTGTCAAGGTTTGCCTCCAATGTTCGCTGTCTAGCAGGATCGTTCTCAGCCAAGACCAAAGCTGCCCCAGGAGGGGTCAAATGGCCCGCCCACACATGCACCACCTGCACAGTCGTTTATTCACTCAATAAACCTTGATCGGGTGTCTATAACGTGCCAAGCATTGTGATAGGTGTGACAGATACAGCGCAGAACAAGACAGACAAACTCCTTGTCTCTGGAGCTTAACATCTGGCACTGCAGGTGGCATTGAACATTACACTTTGTCCCTAAAACCTCTGTTAGTAAATTTTCCCTGTCCCCAAACAACAACTCATCCTCGCTACGAGCTTAAAACTGCTGGAAGGTGTGACACCCACTTTTTGTTGTTTTAACTCGCAGCTCATCCGCTTACCTGAAGATGTGGTTGGGTGGTCAACATCTTCTGGGACGGTGGAGGCTGAGAGAGCTGTTGGAAAGATAATACAAGGAAAACGACTCCTCATGTGTGATAGTGAATAGGAAGAGAAGGACCACGTTCGTCTGCTTCACACTTCCAGGAGAAAAATTCAAAAACCTTTGTACGAGCTCGTTCAAAACGGAGAGTTTTAAAAGGAACAAGCAGCCTCGAAAACATCATGCCAGGCACGGAAGGCCACCCATTGTTGATGCCATTTATGTGAAATATCCGGAATAGGCAAATGCAGAGAGTCAGAACACAAACCGGTGACTACCTGGGCTGGGGGAGGAATTCTGGCAAAATGGCTGTGGCAAAATGGAAGTGAGCAGAAATGCCACAACCTCTTCACCTGGCTTAGCAGCCAGGAGCGAAGCCCCTGGTCCTGGGATGGCAGCATCCCATCCCATAGGACACTCCCCAAGGCCCTCAAGGTCACACTCATCGTGCACTGACCGTGCACCAGGCTTTCTGCTAAACCCTTTACACCGATTCACTGGCTTAATCCTTACAACAACCGCTTAAAATAAATGGCTGTTTTTCAGACAAGGTAACAGAGACACCAAGATGTAAAGAAACATCACGAGGGTCTCACAGGTGGGAGGTAGAAGAGAGAGTATCCAAACCCCATAGTCAGCTCTGAGCACTGTACTGCCAAGTAAATGGAATATGCCACTTAGGTTTCAAAAGTGTCCTTATTTAGTCACTTAGATACGAAAGCTAGGAATTTTAACATGTTGCTCTCTCTCTCCTGTTAATGTTTGGAAGTGGACATAAATATGCAAACTGGGAACAGCCAAATGGTATTAGTATATTCAGGCATCTACTTATTTATTCACTTAAGCACGGAATGCCCAGCAGAGAGCAGCTATGCAGACATTGTTCATGGGAGGGCGTATGTGCGTGCATGCGTGTGTGTGTGTGTGTGTGTGTGTGTGTATGTGTGTTTGAGGTTGAGGGAATGTCGAAGAGGAGAAAGGTATGGATTCTGCCCTAAGACTGACACTGGGGAAACAAGAGGATGCACATGCAACAGTATGAGAAAGGAATAAGAGGTACATGTGGGGACAGCTGTGGGATCTAGAAGAAGGAGCCACCCTGCCAGCTGGAACCGGGATGGGGAGGACTGGACCACTCGTGGTAGAGACTGATGCCAGTGTCACAGCGGCCACCCTGTAGGCAGTGGGTATGTGAGTCTGGGAGAAGTGCAAGGGTAAGAAAATTAACTACGGGCCAGGCTCAGACGTTAACCCTTTATACTCTTAGCTTTTGTCATCTCAAACCCTTTATACTCTTAGCTTTTGTCATCTCATATAGATCCTCCTAGTTTCTGATTAGGCAACATGCCTAGTCGTATCTTTTTAGTAGTTAATAGGATTTAAGCGCAATTTAGAGAGTTTGAAATAGTTCAGAGATTAAACTCTAGGGGCTCAGAAGGCAGATGGTTTGTTATCTTTCCATCGACCTTGGGGACAATATTTAATCTATCTGAGCAGGAGTTTCTTTATTTGGAAAAAGGAGATTATAGAAGTTCCCTCATCCAGTTGTTCGGAGGATGAGATAAGAAAATCCATGGAAGGCGTTTAACACATGTGATTGTCCTGGCCCACGGCATATGGCAGTGCTGTTTATTACAAATTAAGTGCAAGCCACATATGCAATTTTAAATTTTCTGGTATCCACATTTTAAAAAGTAAAAAGAAATGGGTGAAATTAAATTTAATAATATATCTTATTGAATCTAATATACACAAAATACTATCATTTCAATATAACTATATAAAGTACAAATATAAAATGTAATCAATATAAAAATGTCCATGGGCAATTTTACATTCTTTTTATAGCACTGTCTTTTTTTTTTCCTTAAAAAAACAACTTTATTGAGGTATAACTGACATACCAAAGAACTGCACATGTTTAATGCATACAATTTGATGAGTTTGGACGTATGCATACACCTGTGATACTATCACCACAATCAAGGTAATAAACATCCATCACCTCCAAAAGTCCTCTTGTGTTTCATTTGTGTGTGTGGTAAGAACGCCTTGCCACATGAGATCTACCACCTAACAAGCTTTTAAGTGAGTGAAACCACGTCGTTAACCACAGGCACTACGCTGTACCGCCGACCACTAGAACTTATTCATGTTGCGTAACTGAAACTTTACACTCATTGAATATCAGCTCCCCGTCTCCCTAAGTCTTTGGGAGACCCAGTGTGTACCTGATACACACAGCACATCTCAGTAGCCACGTGGACAGTGCAGGTTTAAGGGCTTTCTAGAGATTATCGTCGGCATTGTCAGAGTCAGCATTATATGGTGGTATAATTGAAACTTCACAGCCGCAGATGGCGGAGAGTGGGGACAGAAGCAAGCAGCATGATACCATGAGCATGGCCCATCGTGGTGACCACTGCTGCCACAACTAGAAAGAGGCGCAACTTAGAAGTGTCCCACTTGGACACTTCCCAGACGTTAGATCAGGCGTGCTCTGGTTTGCTTCTTAAATTCAGAAGCTGTGAAGAGGCCCTTTAACAATCTCTCTCTCTAACACACACACACACGCGCACACACACACGCACGCACACGCACACACACAGGCACACACACTCCTACCTCTCTTCCTCTTCCTCTTAGCATTCGTGAAAGCATGCGGAATGGGAAGCCTTGTGCGACCACGTTCTTTGATAGTAAAACTACAGGTAAACATAAAGTGAAGCTGGGCAGTGGGAAACCAAGACCGTTTCACAGTGTCCCCTGTCCCTTTCTTCTCAAATTATTTGATGGCAAATGGACCGCAGCAGTACCTAATGATGGCCGCAGAACCACTGACTGTCATTACAGGGCGACTGAGAAACCACACTAATTCCGGTCACGGTGCCAGAGGTGGCAGTGTCCTACCTGGTGGTGCTGACCGTGCCGCGGTTGTAGGAGATAACTGGGTTGAGACGGCAGCAGGTAGAACTGCAATAAAGAGACACCTGTTAACATTAAGCGGTTGCTCACAGTGACTTGAGGGAGGTGTGCTCAGCCGGGAGCTCCCTGTGACTTCACAAGATACAGTTTTGTCTTAATTCCAAAGGGATCGCTCCATGAGTGATAGAAACCCTAAGTCGACTCTTAGCCACTGATCCTCAGTCCTGCTGGACTCAACCATCCCCATCCTGTTTCTCTCCCAGATTCAATATCCCAGCGCAGGAATTTGGTGTTTTGTGATGAGAATTATGTGTTTTGGGTCTTATTATTCTCTCTGAGAGTTGATCTGATGGTCTGGACCATTGGGACTCCCTGGCACTTTTATCCTCTTGTTTTGCCTGTTTTATTCCTAAGCCTGTTTCGTTACCGACATTTCTGTTTGTCGGTGTTGTGTTAGCACTACACCTCTTGATGGCCCCACAGCCATGCCATATCTGGTCTGGGGAATTACTTACCATACCCATAAGGAACACTGAAGAGGAAATTGCAGGAGATAGATAACCACAGCCTATCTCTCTGGATTGTCCTGGGTAGATGCTCTCCCTCTTCTATCATACCTTTCTTCTCTCTACTTGCTGTTTGGGTCACCGTATTTCAATGCATGTCCTGAATGGTGTGTCCATTTCTGTGCCACTGAGCAATAGCGACTACAGAGTTTTATTTCATAAACAAACATGGTAGGCAGAACGCTGGCTTCCCTGAAGATGTCCACATCCTAATAATGGGAGCCTGTGAATATGCTAGGTTACAAGGCAAAGGTGGGAATAAGAGTGCTGGTGAAATTCAGGTTGCTAACCAGCTGCCTTAAAGTAGGGAGACTAGCCTGCACCACCCAGGTGGGCCCAGTGTAATCACTAGGTTCCTTAAAAGTGGAAGTGGGAGGCAGAAGAAGAGAGTCAAAGAGATTAGAAAATTAGCTGCTGGCTTTGAAGACACCAGGCAAGGGATGCGGGGTGAGTCTAAAAACTGGAAAAGGCAAGGAACTGGATCCTCCTTTTTCAGATCTTCCAGAACGAACACAGCCTGGCTGGTAACTTTGCTTTTAGCTAAGTGAGACCCATTTTGGATTTCTGACTTCTTGAACTACAAGATAACAAGTTTGTATTGTTTAAGCTGCTAAGTTATGGCAGTTTGTTACAGCAGCAATGGGGAACTCATATGATAAGCCAACATTACATGTGCTCAAATGATCTTCCTCCAAAAAAATTAAAACATGTCACTTATAAAAATTGAGAGAGTTTGGCCAAACTAAAGCTTAAAGATGATTGCAAAACCCTTATGTTCAAAATGGTTTCCACTATTTTTTCCAACAAAAAAAAATAGTGCTATTATCACTCCTTGTTTATAAGTAATCTATTGGAGTGACACCCTGAAAATCATCTCCATCCAAACTCAATTATGAGGGGCAGGTTTCAATAGGTTAGCAAAATAACTCCACAGCCACTCTTTCATTTACTTCTCTCCTGTATTTAGGTGGGAGAAATATCCTAAGAGAAACAGAAATGTCCTAAGAGAAAACAGCACAAAAATGTTCTCTTACCTGATAATATGGTCACTGAATTTCCATCACCTATTGGTACAAATAAATTGAAATATTTCTTTTTCAATTAAATTGAATAATTTTTACTTGACCTACTTACTGGCTTTCAACAAATCTTCAACAAAGTGACAGGTGTAAAATGCAAAATGTAAAATATAGTGAACTCCTGGTGAAATACAACCCATTGGACTTCACAGGCTCTCAGAAGTACTGTATTTGCTGATCCAATTGTTCTGAAGACACCCTACTTCTTCTGATTCTTCCAAATGCCCATACACTGACCATAAGCCAGCCACCCCTGTGGCTCAGGGCCACCTGCCTGCCCTGGGCAGTGGTTCCACACCGGGTCAAAGAAGGACAACCGTGGCATGTCCACATCTGCCCACATCTGAGCTGTCCTCTCCATTCAAGCCTCTCTCAGAGCCCAGTGGTCACAATGCATTTTCTCCTGAATCCGTGGCAGACATTTCTATTAATCTGATATATTAATATAAGATTAATATATTATATATAATTATTACATATACTATTATTATATTATATATTACACATTACTCATAATATATGTTATCTTATAGAACAGGTCTAAAAAAGTTACAATTATATAATTATATACTATAATAATATATTATATCAGATTAATGATACTATATATATTATTATAAGTATATGTTATATAATGTAATATATAATATTATATTATTTATATCCTGGTAAAAATTTCAAATGACTGATAGTAAAATATATTTATCTGTATAGCAGGACCAGAAAAATAGAAATATAAGAATAATAACCATATGGATGAAAGGGAAAGAAATAGAAAAAGTACCAATAAATCCATAAAACCCTTAGCTAATTATTAGAACAGATCATTCAATTAATGTCACCTTGCACAATGGAATTCTCACTGCCTTATAAGTGTATCCCTCTAAAGGAAATCTTTGCCTTTGTTTGAGGACCATTGAATATTTTAATACCTAATGCATCGTTTTCAATAGCAATTTACAGAAGAGGCAGAATGCTATGCACATGTCTATTTTTTCATCCAATAAGTATTTATCTAGAACCTACTATGTAGCAGAAACTGTCCTCAGCTCTGAGACAAAATATCACCAGGGTTTCTGCTCCTGCAGGACCCACACTCAGGGGTGGGGGGCAGAGGACATGTAACGGACAGGGCAGCAAAAGGGAAATACAAAGCCCATCTCGGAGGCAAATACCAGGAAGAGAAAAACAGCAGGTTGATCAAACAGGACTCAACCGTGAGGGAGTCTTTCTGGACTGTATACTCAGGGAAATCCTCTCGGAGGGAGTGACATTTTAGCTGAGACCTGATTACAAGGAGTGAGCTGAGAAAGTTCTGGGAAAGAGCCTTCCAGGCTCAGGGAAGAGCCCCCTATCAAGGCCCTAGGTGGGAGCTACCTTGACAGTCTCCAGGGATGAGAAAAAGACCGAGGAGCACAGTCCAGGCGAGGTATTTTCTCAGTGGTCGGAGACATGAACAAGCGTCAGGTCACGCAGGGTCTAAAAGGCCACGGTCACCGATTTGGACATTATTAAAATACAGCTGCAAGCGTTTGGAGGGGTCTGCGTGAAGGCGAATGCTCCGATTTACGGTTTACCAGCCTGCTCTGGTTTCTGTGACAAGAATAGGCCACGTGGATGTTGAGGATGGAAAGGAGGGAGGTAAAGGACTATTTAGAAAATTGTTGCCAAATTACGATGAAAGATGATGGCGCTTTGGATGACAGCAGGAACAGCGGAGTCGGAGGTGCTGTTGGGGTTAGCATATGTTTTAGAAATAGACGCAGAATTTTCTGACGCATTAGTTATGCGAAGTGAGGGAGAGGGAAAAATGAGGGATGGCTCCTATTTCTCCTGGCTCGAGAAACTAGTTGGACGAAGGAATATGTGTATTTTGAACATCAGCTGCCCATAAAAGCCAAGCAAAGTATTATAATATCGAACAGACTAACAGCTGTGCCTCTTGCTAGCTGCATGGCCTTGGGGAAGTTGATTAACTTTTCTACGCCTCAGTTTCACCATCAGTAAAATGGGGATTACAATAGTACTTGTTTCATAAGGTTGCTGTGAAAATTAAATGTCATGCATGCAAAATGCTTAGAATTAATTAATTCTTTAGAGCCAGGGACAGGAAGCTAAAGCTGGTGGTTCAATTCTAGCCCAGTGCCTGTTTTTGTAAATGAAATTTTATTGGCACATAAGCATGCCCATTAGTTTATGAACTGTCTGTGGCTGCTTTAATGCTACGACACAGCAGAGTTTCATAAATGCAACAAAGACCATCTGGCCTGAGAAGCCTAACACATTTACTATATGGCCCCTTGCAAAAAAGTTTCTGGACCCCTGAGTTAGATAATTCAATAACTAATAATCATGCAGGTTAAGTTCTTAAAACAGTGCCGGGAACATCATAAACGCTCATAAAAGTTGGCTGTTACCATCCCATGCATATGATCTCATTTAACTTAAGTGGAGCTCTGTAAAGTTGGTGTTTTTATCCCCCTTTTAAAAAAGAGTATAAGTGACTGGCCCAAGATCACACTAAAGACATGGCAGAGACAGAACTGCTGCTGCCAGACTCATTGCCTTTTTCTCATCCTGAAACTTGGCCTTTGCCGGTGCACTGGCCAGTCTTGAACACGTTCCCCTTGGATTGACTAGTTGCAGGACTTACCAATCTCCTAATGCACCAGAAAATTGATACAACTGCTGTATGTACAGGATACGTACAACATTCTCCCCTCCAAATGTGGCTCAGCAGTTGCAATAAAAATCTTTTGGTTTTAAACCAAAAGTAGCTAACGGCAAATTCAACAAGAAGATACCTCTTACCTTGGGGCATTTGTAGTGCTCCTTCAGCGTTCTCTGTAGGGAGACAGGTCAGGAGTTTGGTGGCAGTTAGAACATGAGAGCAAGTGGCAGGCAGGTCACACCCCTTCCCCAGCCACCCAGAGTCCCACATAGCAGGAAAGAATGTTCACTAAACAGTCACATAAGTGATGCAAACAATTTACCAAGACTTTCCCTTAACACGGTGATAGGAGTAGTGCTTTTAATAGCAGTTCCATTGGAATAATGAAAATAGCAATACTGGAGAATAACTAAAACCCTCGTGATTGAAATGAAAATAAAGCTAGTTCTTGTGGAAGGAAGAAAGTAGTCCAGCAGCATTTCAACTTAACAGTAGGATTATCTTAATGGCCCTGGAACGCAGAAATGGCCAATAATGACTGTTGAAATGTGGCAATCTGATCCCTCCCATCACTTACACCATTGATTCTTTCATTATCTACCTATTTACCTGCCCAGGTAGCTTCTAGAATGAAAAATGTCAGGTCAGCAAAACAAAAGCATGAGCCTACCTGATGTAGACGTTATGGGCTCAGTCTCTGCTAACAAGCAGGAAAAGAAAAGATTTGCTTTAGAAAAGGGTAGCTGTTTCTGGAGATGCTTAAAATCAGAACAAATTTTAAAATTAAAGAATAAAATAAAAGCATTGACTCTCCCTGTCTTAGTTCAGGAGACTTTAACCATCAGATGCATAAATGTTTATTAGCACAGCGTGTCTAATAACACACATTCCATCCAATTGTGGCTGTGCTTGGCCATTGTGCAAACTCTGTAACACTTCTGAATAGGAGGCAAAAACTCATCACACACACAAAAAAACAGGTGGAACGCAGGGGCTCTGTAGACTAGACGGTTTTGGTGGAATTCTAAACCAAAACCCCAACTAAATTTTAAGAAAATCAAATGGGGAAAGAAAACTCAAAAACTAAATGAAAAACAAACCAGCGCACACGTACACCCACACGCTCCCACCCCACTATCGGGCTGTTTGAAAGGACTTAAAAAGCTAATGAATTACATTAGTATCTTCTGGATATAGTATTCCTGGTTGAATATAATTGGAAATGTAGGCAAGTAGCCAATTTTATCTCTTTAGGCAGGCTAAATTATTTCCTTTCTTCCCCACGGGCACACAAATGTATGTCTTTAGCATCAGTAGCACGCTGCTTATTAGTCACATGTCAGGGGGAAATTTGTTTGTATTCTCTACACCAGTGGTTCTCAACTGGGGTCAATTTGCTCCCCCAAAGGATATTTGATAATGTTGGAAAACGTTTTTGTTTGTCACAGCTTGGGGGCTGGGGGTGCTACTGTCATTTAGTGGGTAGAGGTCAGGGTTGCTGCAAAACAGCCTACGATGCACACCCGCAACAAATGATCTAGCCCAAAATGTTGAGTGCCAAGATCGAGAAACCCTGTTCTAGACTGGTCATGATAATTACTATTTAGTCAAAGACATGTGATTGGTGACACGTGGCCTGAACTCAACAGGACAAGCCAATGCTGTTCTAATGCATAAACTCCTTGCCTTATCACCTTCAATAGACTGCAAACTTTTAGTAAGAAAAAACTTTAGTTCACCAAAGTGTCCCGAAGAAGGGTAGAACACACACCCTGTGAGTGAGTCATGTCAGTGCTGACTCATGCTGTCTTTTTACCCATCACTTTGGAATCTAGTCTTTGTTATGGAACCACCAATAGCTCCCACTGTTTTTTTTTTTTTTTGAGACAGAGTCTCACTTTGTTGCCCAGGCTAGAGTGAGTGCCGTGGCATCAGCCTAGCTCACAGCAACCTCAAACTCCTGGGCTCAAGCAATCCTCCTGCCTCAGCCTCCCGAGTAGCTGGGACTACAGGCATGCGCCACCATGCCTGGCTAATTTTTTTTTCTATATATATTAGTTGGCCAATTAATTTTCTCTCTATTTATAGTAGAGACGGGGGTCTTGCTCTTGCTCAGGCTGGTTTCGAACTCCTGACCTCGAGCAATCTGCCTGCCTCAGCCTCCCAGAGTGCTGGGATTACAGGCGTGAGCCACTGCGCCCGGCCCCACTGTTTTTTTTCTATATAAAATCCATTCCAACATCTTGTGGCTAAAGAGTTCCTGAGGTCAAGGGGAAGCTCTCACATCACCAACGTCTCCTTGCTGTTTGCTCCCCTGAGTGGTAGAGACGGGCTGCGGTTACGCAGGTGCAAGCACTGCCGATGGGATCAGTGGAGACACAATCCGGGTAATGCGCTGTGCACCTCACCATGGACGGTTGGTCATTACCTGCGCAGATGACACTGGCGTCTTCTCCAGGACCGCAGTTATGCAGGCCCCAGCCGGCATGGGGACACTGTCCCAGAAAAGGCTCTCTTCCCGTACAGTCCACGTCATCCAGCAGAAACTTGCCTTTGCCTTCACCGAATCGGGCCTCGGCAGGGGCCGCGAGGGCAGGCCCGCAGCTCAGCTGCCGGCACACCACGCTGGCTTCGTTCATGTCCCACTGGTCATCGCAAACCCTGCCCCACTGGCCATGGTAGAAAACTTCCAAGCGCCCAGAACATCTGCCTGACCCATTCACTAGTTGCAATTGTGGCCAGTCTTTTGAAGAAATACAGAAATATGGCATGTTAGGAGAACGAGCATGTTCTGCCTCAACCCATTTGTCTAACTTTGCAACGAGTATTTATCGAGCACACACTGGGTCACAGTAGATAGCACTGTGGACACTGTGGTTCACAGACCTGGCTCCTCCTGCCGTAGACTGTGGGGTCTAGTTTGAAAGTCTAGAGGAGGCAGTCACATTCATCTAAAATTAGGTGGAGATTTGCAACTGTGCTAAGTGCTAAGAAGGAGTTTCGAGAACGCATAATGGGGTGGGGAGGTTGGAGGTATCTTTCCTAAGAGGTGACCATGGACCTAAGGCTTCAAAGAGGAGTGGGAAGAGGCTAACTAGATAAGAATGGAGAGAAGGACAGAGCCTTCCTCTGTGCATTTAAATGAAACACAAAGGTTTATGAGTGAGGTGAATGCATAATGCATAGGGATTGTGCATGATAGATGAAATCCTTTAATTTGGGACTATTGTCATGGTTGAAGATCTACCCATCATTTAGAAGTGATGACCCACCAAGCCATATCAGCCAAACAGTTAGGAAACCTTGACTTACCACCAGGAAATGGTGTTAGGATCTCAACATCTAAGTGCAGAGAGAAATAAACAAGGTGTCATTGCCATTGCCATGCAAAATAGCCCAAGTTTACTGGGCAAGCACCAGCATGTATGTGATGGCCTCATGGAGTAGATGATGAGCTAATGACATCCTTGGGGGAATATATTCAGTAAGTTCTGATAGTGGCAAGGGAGACGCTGATCGTGCATCTGGGCAGCTCAGAGTCATTTGCAGATTGCTCTTTTAAACTGGATTATTTGTGTGCATTCACCTCTGCCAGAAAGGCAAAAAGGTCAAGTGCTTATAGAAGTGTATTCTTATGGCACTCATAAATGTGCTTCTAAGGAAGGGAAATGCCAGAAGACTCAGGTCAACAAGGGGGTATGCTTTTCTCCATTAATCTCTGGATTTGCTAAATGGGGGTGAGAGGGACAGTGTCCAGAAGCTATGTTCCCTGCCTTTCCAGCCTCAGGTGCCTTATTTGGGTGTGCAAAGTTAGGGTTCTGTTCAGTCTGAGTCTATATCATTGAATGGTAATTTACTAAACCATGTTCATATCCTTACTCCGTAATTCTCTAAAATACATTTGGGCAACAGTTTGGGGAGAAAATATTTCCTGTTTTTTTGTTTGTTTCCTTTCTGTTTTGAGTCCCTTCGATTAAATTTAGTTTGCCTTCTGCCCCTCTCCGAGCTCCTGCAGTGAGTACAATCAGAGGATTGGGGGCATTTGTTGATGCTAAAGACATAAAGTGTGATTCTTACCAAAAGCTCCTGGAGTTTCATATTCATATTCTATGAGAAGAAAAGAAAGTTGAATATAACTTGAGTCTTTTAGAGACCATAAAAATTTTGGAATGCGCTGCACTTACTGGAAGGGTCCTGTGTTGCACCTCTTGTCTGGAATTAGTCATATATGGTTAATCCAAAAAAGCTTAGGGCATTGCTGTCTTGAAAGGAAAGACCTTTTCACTATTCTTCAATATTTATTGAAATGCAAACATTTTATTCTAAACTCCACGCTGAGCAATAGCCCAGTACCTGGAACTAGAGTTGATTTTCTACATTTCTCAGTCTGGGATTGGGATAGGAGAGTCCTGCAGGTTAAACAGGTGTCTAAAGGAATGATGTTACCTGATGCAGTTGAGTATTTAACACCTTGCTTTAGTATTAAAATAAACATGATTTTATTACAAGTTGGAAGCAAATCACGTAGTGACTTTTTAAGATAAAAGGATTTCAAAGAGAGTCTCTGCTTAGTGTAGGCAACCTTGGGGTGTGCTGTTGGGGTATCTGTTTGAGAAACATTGGACCAGATTAATCCATTCACATCTGTTCTCCCATTCATGTAATCAATTACTCGTTTCTCCAATTAACATGCATTGACTTTCTTTCAACATCACCGGTGGAACAGCATTTGAAATGGAACTGGGGAAGTTGTGAGTTTTGATGATGTGGGAAGGTGGGTCTTAGGGCAGGTCAGTGCATGGGGTCCTTTGCATCTGGTGAGCTTGCCACGACTTTGGGGCGAGTGTGTTGGGGGGCGTGAAGTAGGTGAGAAAGGTGAGCTCACTAGCAGAGCATCAACGACAAGCCTGAACATTTACAAATTTTTCCTAGGCATAGGGCAGTTTTTCCAGAGTGCAGACATTTGGTGGTGGGAACAGAGCCCACGTGCAGTATAGAGACCTAAATATTTGCTGTGTGATTGCTGGTCAAGGCACTTAACCTTGACCTTGGCTTAACCTTGTCTCTGGACCTCAGTTCCTTTATTTGCAAAGCAGGAATCATAAACCAAGCCCATCTCAGAGGCTGTAAGGATGTGATGGGATAATGGATGGGAGGTGCATAGAAAACTGGAGAGCGCTCCGTGACTGGGGTGGGCGGGGTTCATGCTTTGAGACCATCTCTTAGGCAAGACCACTCAGAGCACCGATACACCTGGACTTGGAACACATGGCGTGCTATGACCCCAATAATTATGCAGTCAATCTCTCAAAATGTCTTATTTGAAAGAAATTTGATTATCCCCCCAATGACAAATTTAATCAGCTTTAATCAGTAGCAGGGACGATCAGAGGAAATCATAAGAAAGAAAACTAGACCAAGGCTAACACTTGGGGAAGGCACTAAAGACAACTTTGCTTTCATTATTAAAGCAATTATTAATTCATCAATTACCAGTTAATTGGCAGTTCCTAAGTAGTTATTAAAATGAATCAATTCAACTGCACATGCTTGATTCTAAAGCAGGGTTTCCTAACCTCAGCACACTGACGTTCTGAGCTGGAAAATTCTTTTTGGTGGGAGCTGTCCTGTGCACTGCAGGATGTTTGGTGGCATCCTGGCCTTCACTAAGGTGAAGAGGCCAGCAGCACTCCCCCAGTCGTGACAATCATAAATGTCTCCAGACATTGCCAAATGTCCCCTGGAGGGCAAAGTCACCTCTGGTTGAGAACAACCATTCAAAAACATATTCGAAAAGTGTTCTTAGACTCCCCTGAAGTAAGACTTACAATCATTTGCCAACCGGACTATTCTCAGCCCCTTCCTCACTCCCAAGGTAGAGTCCTCTGCCCACCCAGGCTACCCGGAGCACCCAGATGAGGAAAAGGGAAACCCCACCTAGCCCCTCTGGGGCTGAAGACTCACAGAAAGGGCTTTGGAAGGCGTCCCACATGGTTCAATAATTAGGCAGGACCCAGGTGTCTGGGAGGTCAGAGGGGCTGCAGCTGCCTTTGCCCTGCGGGCTGGGGAAGAGAGCTTTGCAAGGATGGTTTCGTGGACCAGGGCTCTGCTCTGCCCCTTGCCCTGCTGCTCAAAGACGGCCCGCCGCAGTGGAAGGTTCCTGCCGTGGCAGAGTCCCTGTCTCGCTCACCAAGGGACGAGAGTTGCTGCTTGTCTCTGTGTCTGCTGACAAAAGCGTACGTGAACCCCACGGAAAGCAGGGGGTTCATTCCTGCTTGGGCTTCTACAAGCCTCCTGCAATACGTGTACTTGACTATCCTGGCTTGCTGGGTGAAGCTGCAGGATCGGGCTTCCTGGAGGAGATGCAGCTTGGGCAGGAGAAGGAGCAGGATGAGTTGGGGAGAGACCCTCCGACCCACCGCGGGTGGGCACTGATTTCTGCATGTTCGTGCCTGGATGCGACTGCCACTCGGCCATGACCCTAAGTCAGTGTACTGGGACGTGAGGCGGCCAGTCGTAGGAGGTTGACTTCTTGGGAATGACGAGCATGCGCCGTGAGGCCTCTTCCGGGCTGTGGTAGGTGCAGTGACGAATTGAATAGCAGGTGCCGTCCACCACAGTGTCCGGTGAAAGATTCGTATGTGTATGAGGGTCATGGCCATTGTAAATGGAGGGCTAACCGTAGGTGCTAAAAAAGCACATGTTAGGCAAGACGGTGGTGGGAAGTCGAATGTTAGGGAGAGGGACGGCCACAGATTGCCCCCCGGGGTGAGCAGCCTCTCAGCCCGAGGCCAAGGCGCCCACCATCCAGCCCTGCCTCTTCCTGCGATGCTCTGCAGTCTCCTTCTTGAGGAACAAGCCGAGCGCGACCATTTTTTGATAATCATAGATTACGTAGGGGCGCGCTGCGGGCTTTCCTCCAGGAGCGGTCACGCGTCCCCACAGAACTGGAGGGTTGGGGTTAAGACTCTAGGTGTCGCGGCTCCACAACATCCTGGAGGAGAGGTTCCGGGGACGGCTGAGGAGCCGCAGCAGGGAGTTCATACCAATGAAATGACGTTACATTAAACATTCTCTTGTTCGGGAGAAGGGAGCAGACTGGACTGAGGGGTTGGAAAATGAAAATCCTCTCGAAAAAGCGAAGAGAAAGACATTGAACCGGCAAAGATGACAGGCAGCTCTTCCCCGGGCCCACAATTGGTGGGCGAAAGCCGCGGCTGGCCATGCCCAGGTGCCTCGGGCGGCGCACTGCACAGTCGTCCAGAAGAATGGGCCCAGAGCCCCGGGGCGTCAAAGCGGGCCTCTGCCGGTGGCAAGAGACGGCGTCCCGCAGGCCCTGCCGGACACACCTGCGCTCTTTCCATCCGAGGGTCGTCGCACACCGTGCCCCACACGCCTTCAAGAATACACCTCGACTCGGCCAGAACACACTTCCAGAACCTTCACAGGTTGCACAGCAAGCCAGTCTGTTGGGAGAAAGGCAGTTCACCCCCACCTAAGTGCGTGAACGGAGTCATCTTCCCCACCATCGTGATGACCTGCTTCCCATGGAACACACACGGGTCCTGGAAGCGGTGAAGCCCGCACAACTGCCATCTTTTTAAGGCTCACGCGTACCTCGTAGGGTATTATTGCCCAGTTACCAGGGGAGGAGACGGGATTCCACAATGGCAGTGGCTTCCCAAGAGGGCACTGTTAGTGGACAGAACAGAGACACTGTCAGACCTCTGCAGGGCCTTCCTGTTCTGGGTGGGGTTTGGATCAGGTTAGATCTGCCCTGTGGCCAGACGTGGGCCTTGGCATTGGCCTTGGCCTTGGCTTTGCTCTTTTCAGAAGCACTTCACACTGGATTCTCCCACTCACCTTGGCAAGAATCTAAGACAGAAACTCTTGAGCTCTGGGGTCCTTGATATTTTAGCTTAAGAAATCTATCTTAGATTCGTGGATGATTTCCACTGCGTTATTGCCCATGTTGAGTCAAGCGTCCTGGCGAAATGCAAGGGCACACGAATGCACGCCCACAGCAAATGCACCCGCTGTGCAGTATTTCCAGCAACACTGCCGCCCTCTCCCATCACCTGGCACCTGCAATTCATCTCCCTGAGTGTTTGCTGGGCATCATCCGACTCACTGTCCCCGACAGTCTCAGGGGCAGGCAAGGCTGCTCGGGTGGCGAGGTGCCCAGAGTGGGGCTTCGGAGTGTGGCGGCCACAGCTGGCTTTTGACTTCGCTCCCCAGCTCTGCCCCCCACCAGCCGTGCGATTCATGTGGGCCACTGGAGCGCTCCTGTTCCTCATCTGTCAATAATAACCACAGCTACCTCAAAGGGGACTCGCGAAGCAAAGGCAGGCGAAGCGCCTGGCACAGAGGGAACACTTAGGAGCTGGCAGTTCCTGTTATCGCCACTTTGTGGACCAGTAATTAGCGAGGCGAAGAGATGGAGGCGATTCCCAGAGCGTGCTGCAAAGGGAGCGCCCTGGGGGGCTGTCTGACATCTCGCCACCTCCCAGTGGCCACGGGGCAGCGCCTCGCACAGTGTGGCCCTCTGCCCGAGTCATCTCCAGGGGGCTAAACGTGCAGGTTCCTGGAGTGCACCCCATGTCTGGGATCGGGGCCCAGCATTCTGCCTGTTCCATAAGCTCTTGGCATGATTATCATATACCCCAACATTTAAGAACACCTAACATAGAGACCCCGAGTCAGTCCTTAGTGTGTGAGAACCACGAGGTTAGACAGAGATCTGAGGGCATCTCCGTCTTGGTAAGCAGAATAACACTGGGGTGTCTTTCTGTCCAGAGGCGAGCGACTTACCCTTCCGGGCGGGGGCCGCCCATCTCCGGGGGCCTTCCCATCCTCTGCCCTGCAGATCCCACCCACCCTCAGCCCCTCTTCCTCCAGGCCGCGGGGACTGTCTGGCTGTGACTCACCTTCTTGCTGTGTCACAGATGTACCTTGGACGGCGCTTCTCTCAGGGCGTCCCTTCCACGGCCCCCCTCGGAATCCCGCGGCATCCCTCCTGTAGCAAGCTGAGATGCGACAGCCTTGTTAGAGCCCAGCAGGCACCAGACGGCAGCGTCACCACCCGCAGAGTGTGGCCTGGGAGTGTGAATTTCCAACAACCCAGATGTCCTGTTGTCGGCAAGTCGGGGGACTCACGTTCTGGAACTGCTTTTCCTTAAGCTCTTGCCCTGGGTGCACTTGGTCTTACAACTCCTCCTTCTACTCAAATGCGTTTGCCCCAGTCATTCCCACTTTTGTCAGCCAGTATATTTTATTATTCATCTCCAGCTACCTGCAGTTAACCCTGAAGCATTGTCTTTGAGTAAGCTACAGTTTATACATAGATTCAACTATGCTTTTTATTTTATTTGACGGGTTCTACTCTCTCCTGGATTTGTCTTTTTATAATCATTTCCCTCCCTTTTTTGTGTTTTTAAACTTATTTTTCTGTTTTTATTTTCATTGTGCATTTTTTTTTTATTTTGGGGGTTATTTAATATTGATTTAAACTAATTTGACATTTTGGGATTGTTCTTTTAATGGTAGCTTTGGTAAAAGAGGAGGTATTTGGCTACCGTGCAACATAAACACAGCAGTCCTTTTAAAAACTGGTTCTCCACTCTTTCTGGTGAAGTGCAATAACTTTCATCTAATCTCAAATAAGTGATCTCCTCCAAAGTAGTCCCTTGGATCGATTTCTGTTTTCCCTCCCTCAAACCGAAGCCTCATACTGCCCACCTCTGTGACTTCTCCTGAGTCACTGAAATTCCCTGGAATGTCATAACCTCTCGTATCAGCATGGTGTCCTGGCTACTCAGGCAGGACCAACCCCAAATCAGAAACCTTTATAAAGTGTTTCCCAATCCTCCCTACTGAAAAACTGATCTCCCAAAACCTTTATGTTCAGTTCATTTGAGTTTAACAAATGTCTTTGAGCACCTACTACGTTCCAAGCCCCCCCCCTCGGGGGGGGAGGGGCAATGGCAAATGACTCTTTGGATACCTGTGGCCCCAGGGCTACCTGTGTATGTGTCGTGTCTCCCCAGCCAGATTGAAGGATCCTGGATGGAACAGAGCATCCTCCGGCACAGTGCCTGGAACATAGTAGGCACTCACTAGACGTCTGGCGAGTGAATTAATGGTGTGGGATATCAGTCAGCCTGGAGAGTGGGCTGGATAAATTTAGAGGATGTGGATAAGCAGGCATAAGCCTCTCACCTAGGCTCGGTGAGGGAGCCGCCTGCACCGGAAGCCGGCTCTGCATGGAGGGAGCCTGGGAACTAGATGGATAAATGGCAGAGACTGATTTTTTTTTTTTTATGGCTTTGAAGGCTAGGAAGAGCCTTTTCAAGTGGCAGTGTCATTTTGGGTACTTTCTCAGAGAAGAGACATGGAAGCCCAGTGCAGGCGTAGCTAGAGGTGAGAGAGACAAAAGGAGGGAAAAACTGGGGTGCAGGTAGCTCGAGTGGACAAGCTGGAAGTTGTCGTGAGCTTGGGCTGTGATGGCAGCTCCTGCTATAAGTAGGGTGGGGAATTTCTTTTTTTTTTTTTTGAGACAGATTCTCACCCTGTCACCCCAGGTAGAGTGCAGTGATATCATCAGAGCTCACAGCAACCTCAAACTCCTGGGAGCAGGCGATCCTCCTACCTCAGCCTCCCGAGTAGCCAGGACTACACGTGTATGCCACCAGGTCTGGCTAATTTTTCTATTTTTAGTAGAGGCAGGGTCTTGCTTTTGCTCAGGCTGGTCTTGAACTCCTGATCTGAAGCGATCCTCCTGCCTCAGCATCCCAGAGTGCTAGGGTTATAGGTGTGAGCCACCACGAACTTGATAATCTATATTTTCATCTCTTCCCAGTTTAAAACATGTACACAGCTTATAATTTACAGCATCTATCGTATTAGTTAACATTGACTAAACATTTTCTATGCACGAAGCACTCTTCTAAATGTTTTACAAACATTCCATTAAATCTCCTCAACAACCCTATGAATTATACCCTTTTTACATGACAGATAGCAGCATGGACAGATTTAAAAACTTATCCAAGCTCACAGGGCCAGAAAGCACCCAGTTCGGGCTTGAATGATCCAGACCTTTTGGGCCCTAAAGCCCATATTCCCAAGCTCAAGCCTGACTGGACATGGAGATGAGAAATGAGGCCCAAAAACTTAAAGGATTCGAGAAATTATTGAAACCCTTCTTAACACCCAATATGTTTTAATAGATATGTTTGAATATCAAACATAATCATATATGTATAATTACTTGCAAAATAAAAAGTTTGAGTATAGTATAAACTTTATACTCGACTGTCATTCTGTGGTTGGTGAGTCATGTTTTTCCTTTACAGTTAATAAGAATAATATTCAGAGTATTCGTTGGTCAAGAGTATGTCCAAATATTCATTTGTGAATACAAGTGGGAAAACTAAGTAATAAAGGACATTAATGTTTCCCCTCCCAAAGCCACAAAACAATGATAAAAATAATTGAAATGGTGTGTATTTTAAATTAGTTCCAAATTAAATCAAAATTTCCTTAAGAGGACTAGAGGTGGCATACACATTAAAACCAAGAATATCAAATTTATAAATCTGGTTTTTATAGTTAGATACAGATTTTCAAATTAGAAAGCTTTCATGAATCAAGTCCAGATAATTTTTATGCAATGCCAAGTATTTCAGGCTAAGATATTATTTTACTGTACATTTTACAGCACCGTTCAGCAACATTAAAGAAATCACGAGTGAAATCAAATACCTCCAGTGCTAAAGATCAATATATCAGCCAAAGAACATTTTTTTAAACAACTTACTGGATTATTCCATAGACAAATATTACTTCTTTATCCATTTCTCTCCAGAGTCCCACAAATCAGAGCCATGATTTTAAAGATCAATAAATTGGCTAATGCTTTTTTTTTTTTATAGAAAACAAATCTTACAGAAGATATTTGACCCAACTTCCTTAAAACTGACCATGACTATGCATTCGGTGATCATCACAGCAACATCTCATCAGTGCTTGTATTGCATTAAACAGAGTAAAAGCTGTATTTATCTGGATTGAATTCAAGCCGGTGTGCTGGTGAACTATGTCAAATACCCATACTTTCCCTTTCAAGCTTGTAACAAGGCATGAGCAAAATGGACCTGAGGCATGAGCTGCAGTACCTGCTTCGGGAAGAACACCAGCGTGGAGGAACAGCAGCCACAGGAGGAGGGCTTGGCCGCCCATGTTGGGAGGGCTTCCAGCTGCTGGAAAACCTGGAGTCCCAGCTTTATATACTCTGCAGGTTCCTCTGGTGGGGGCGGGTCAGTGCAACCTGATGCTCTTCTCAGCCTTGGCTTGGCAGGCGTTCAGAACAGCAGACAACTCATTTGCTTTGGCATTTTGTATTTGCTAAGGGAGAAAGGGTGACTCTACCTATTAGAGGCATTCCATGGAACAGTGGGAGGTTGAAATCAGAGGGAAGAGAAAGCAAACCACTTGCCGGTACCTGGTTAGGCAGGTGGGACCCTCCTGACCTTTCTGTCCCGGGGCAAGAGGCCACCAGGAACCCTAGACCTCCATGAGGCACCATTTCCTTTAGCACGTGGCCATTCCCGGTGGAAGAAGCTGCTGAAACTCTTCTCAGCTTCAGCGCCTACACCCTCCCTCTCCTCCTTTCTTCAAGTTTCCTCTTATTCCCCAACCACATAGGTTCACTCCATTCTCAAATTCCACGGCATTCACTTGGCTCCTCACTTATTAACTCTAAGTACATTCTGCCTTGATTGTCAATACTTGTATTTTGGCCAGATTTCCTCCATTAGCTTGTAAACTTTGAGGACTCCTCTTTATGTTGTTTATAGTCTCACATATCATATTGCTAACTTACCACATGCCTAGCAAGATGCCGTCTACTCAAATATTTGTTGGATTGAACTTTGCAGTACCCGGGGATATCTGATGTTCTTCAAATTATTGCTTCCCTAACATATATTTTCTCTTGACTTAGATCAATGGCTTATAGTAACAAGTTATCCCATAATCTCAAAGAATTCTCTGTCCTGAGCCTTGTATAAAACAGTCTTCTGATAGGGAATGAACCTTCAGGTCTATGTCATGCCACCCTGAATATGCCTGATCTCAGAGGCTAAGCAGGGTCGGGCCTGGATAGTACTTGGATGGGAGGGAGCACACACCTGCTAGAGCATGTGTCTAACTCCATATCCCTGTGAATGGAACAATGGAGTGGACAAGAAGGTCTTGTAGACTCAGTGGGCCCTGGGTAGTGAGAAGGAGTTGCAAGAACATGGTTTTCCCATCTGACTACTCCAATCTTACTTATCAAGACCACTTGGCAAGTTGGGTGACTCCAATGTGTTGATCACCAAGTCCAGCAGGAATGTCTTCTGGGCTCCTCCTGTGTGTGGAATACCAAAGATTGGCCAGGTGCACACCTGGTTCTGATGGCAAAAATTAGGTCATGGGTAGAGTTGAAGAAGGGTGAGGGCGGGGGCTTGGGTTTACAGGGCCTGGGGCTTGTTCCTTCCATTGTGATTTGGGGTAATCCACTTAGTTTCTCTAAGCCTTAGTTTCCTCATCCAGAAAAGTGAAATAATACTATCTGCCCTGCTTACCTTAGAGGGTTATTGGGAGAATGCAATTAGGATATAGGGGAGATTTGCACACTATACAAGCAAGAAGATTACTGTTTCTCAGCAGGTGTCCTTATAAGAGAGATTTTGAGCTTTTCTGACAGTCCTCAATGCTATTAAGTGGCAGAATAAATTCAATCAAATTTAGCCAAAGCAGGAAAAAAAATAGGCATAGAGGGAAAGAAGGTGTTACATAGACAAAAATAACTGTAGCTGTCATAATATTTCACAGACCAAAAGTGAAGCTCTGTTTATTTTCCTATAACTCAACCTTTCTTTGGAAATTCCATTCTGCCAGAGCAGACTACAGAATTGAAAGTCAATATAAGTTTCAGCCATTTCAGGTTTATTATTAGTAAATCCATGTTTTGTTTTGTTTTCTTCCTTTTTATCCTTCTATGTGCCTGGAAGCTGAAGCAGGTTGTAACCACTGGGTTGCTGGGTGTTGGCTTCTGTTCACACCGCCCCCCTGTGAGATAGATACCCAGTCTTGTCCCATGCTCAGACATGATTGCCCCTCCCACGCTGGTCCTTGTTGAGGTGTTGGCAGTCCCACCTGGTCCCAGGTTGTAGGATCCTCGCTGCTTCCTCAACAACCCTGGTCCTACCACACCTCTCCACTGTAGGGTCCCCCGGCTCCCTTGCTCTCAGACACATTCCTTCTCCCTCCTCTAACCTCTGCAACCTTTCCAGGCCTTCTCCCCGAGCCCTTTATCTTTGACAAACCACCCAGCCCTCTCTCCTGTCACCTTCACCCGGGGGGCAACGGGGAACTTCAGCAATGGTGCCGCCTTCCCAGGCTTCACATGGTGAGAGGGACTCAGGTTCTTCTTTTAGATCCCCAAATCCTCCAAACTATCTGGGCATTCTGCTGTCCCATGGGCATCAGAGGCCCACCAGCATCAACCTCCTGTGTCACTTCTGTCTGCTTAACACTCCAGAGGACTTTCAACCAGATAAAACTTGTTCCAGATATTTCTTATTTCACATCTTTTGATCAAAAGTCACTAACATGATGTTTTTACTTTTTGGTGTTATTGCTCCTACAGGTGATGGAGGGCAAAGGGAGGTGTGGTCAATACTTTACAATATTGTCTCCCCATACGGTGGAATAGTCGACTCTCACGCTTAGAAACCACCTTGCTGGGGAAATGGAGCGAGGCTTTAACGCCAGAGACAGAGGTCTGTTGTAGCCTGTCTTAGCTGTACCTTTGCAGCTCCCCGAGCCTCTGTTCTCTCACATAGGAATAGCGACGGGCTTCTCACAGGGTCGCTGTAAATAATCAAGAATATGTACGAAGAGCATCCAGTAGAAATCCTGGAACATAAATGACAGTGCTGTCCCTAATTGTTATTGCTAAGAGCAACTGCCCCTCCCTACCCCGTGGAGCTGATATAAAACCACGTGAGATGCTATGTGTGGAAGGCATTTGAGATATTTTTTATTACAGTGAGTGTTGAGAAGTTGATTTTTACAACTGTTTTTTGTTTTTTAACTGCTTTTTGTTTTAAACTATTTTTACAAACAGTTTATTATAACGGACCTGAGTCTTGGACATTCCAGCCATGAATATTAGAATTTTGGATAAATTGGATTAGAACAAAAAGCTCATTAAGGGTGGTACTCTACCGCACTGAATATTCACACACCCTGGTGAGTAGTCGATCATTTTATTAGGATGCAGTTCCAACCAGGCTGCTGTGGAAGGCATGCCGCCTTCCCTGCAGAAGCCCTCAGGGTCCCAGGTGGCATCTGCTTGCAGGTGTGGTATCCAGGTGTGCATACTCATATGGCCATGCTGGGTTTCCCTCTGAATAGGCCTGGTTCCTCAGAACTAAAGGAATCTGGAAAAGTGCTGATTTAGAGAAGTGCAGGAAGGATGCACCTTTCATGGCCATCTGGGAAGTCTCAGTGGTGTCCTGGAAGTGGCTCTAAGAAGGTAGTGGCCTTCACGTGAGCAGCGAAGACATGGTGCTATTTATTGCTGGGGTAACGTGGGCCAGGTGGGGAAATCCTACCTACGCTTCCCTCCTTCCCTTCTTCCTTTCCTCTAATAAATACCCACGGAGCACCTGCTATATCCTGGACCTCATTCTAGGCACCGGGGATATATCAGTGAACAGAACACACAACATCCCCTGCCCTCAGGGAGCTCCACCTTCTAATTGGCCAAGACAGAGAGTACAAACCAAGTGAAGCACACGGCATGGCACAGGTGGCAAGTGCTTTGGAGAATAACCAAGCAGGAAAGGGAGAGGGAACGTGGGAGGAGAGGAAGAACCTAGAAGCAAGGTGGTCAGGAGAGGCCTCATGGAGAAGAAGGTAACATTTAAGTAGAGACTTTGGGCTGGGGTGAGTGAGCGAGATCTCTCGCCGGGAGGGAGGAGGAGTCGGGCAGAGTCGACCTGCATCAATTTGGTGCCAGCGTTCAAAATGCTTTCCTGGGCCAAGTCATGCCGGGGCCTAGGACACTATGGCACCAACTTGGGTTCACGGGCCCATGGGACAAGGAGAAATGAAGTCACAAGAGGCCACCAGGGGCCTAAAAGGGCAGGTTCTAGTGTTCTTTGTAATGTTAATGTTGAATAGCTGATTTTAATGCAATGTCAAAAGACTTTCCATTTTGTCATTTTAGATATTGTGTTAGCTCAGGGAGAACATACATTTTAGCTTTACTTAGCTGCGAGGATGACCAACACAACATAACGCCAGTCTCATGGTAAGAAACTCTGAGTTCTAGTGTCCTCTTCCTCCGCCTACTGCTTGTATGACCTCGGGCAGGTGCCTCAACCTCACTGAGCTGCCCCCTTTGTAGATAACAGTGTTGCACCTGCCTGAGGCAGGAGGAGGACCAAATAAATGACCCTTGGCATCCTCTCCAGGACTACATTTGGGCCTTGCCTTTTTCACCAACACTGTGTGACGTTGTAAAGGAACACAGGTAAAAAAAAAAAAAAGAAATCCTAATTAAATTCTATCAAAAGCTGATGATATAATTTATAAATTTTATTTGTTAGCATGATGAAAACAACACATGTTCACTAAATAAAACTGTGTAAAGTACGTGAAAATTTGCAGAAGCAAATAAAACCAGCATCCCCAAGCTATACAATGTTAGTATACGTCCTCTAAAGCTTTAAAAAAAAAGGTATACATGCCATTTCTTGTGGCTGTTATTAATTCTCTCATCACTGGTTTTGGGTTCACAAACTATATATGGTGGTATGGTCCTATATTCTGATTTTTAAAAAAAAAAATTTCACAAGAAATTTCCAGTTTTAATGTTCTTTGAAAACATGATTATGATTCTGAACAGCTGGGTAATATTTCATTCGGAGAATGCATAATTTATTCTACTTTTCTATTGTTGGCTACTGATGGGCATTGTTTCCAGTATTTGGTTAAATTAGATGTATTGTAAAGCGACAGATTGTCTAAGACCAGCAAGTTGTTTCAGAATAGCCCCTGCTGCATTCTTTGGCTTCCATCGGTCCCTGGACAGCTGACTTGCTGTCCAGTTTGTCTTTGGCTTCTCCCTGGAGCCTCTCGACACTTCTCCCTTGTCTGTAGCGGGGCCTGGGCTCTAAGGAGCAGGTTGCTTGAAGTACTGACTGGGGACAAGGGAAGGATCCGTGAAGAAGCTGCCCCTGAAAAGTGGTAAGATTAACATGGAACTCCTACCTGCCAGTTGTTTTCCATGTACAGACACAATAGATTCTTTCACTGGAATAAAACGAGGTCAGGTTGCATTATGTTGACATTTAAAGAAATTGAGACATCCCGTCCTTCATGAGTGTTCGAAAGAAAACATTAGTTTCATTGGTTCCCATTTCAGACCAAAGCCCCATTTATTCCGCTCGATTTGTGCCCAACTTGCAGAACTTCACTGGTCATTCCGGAGGTTAGATCCAGGTTAAAGGCAGAGGTTACAGACGAAATCCTGCAGGACCTGGTCAGCCTCTTGGTTCCTGGGTCTCGGGTTGTCTGATGAGGCCTGGGTCCATGAACAAAAGTTCTGAGAAAAGGGAATTTGGAGGAAAGAGACTTTATCCTAGTGAACACTTTGTAAACTGGGGAGATGTAGCCTCCATAAATTGTGTATTCCAGAGAACAAAAGGAAGGCTCAGGTTTTATAGCAAAAATCCCCACCTAGGTTCCCAATCAGGACCATTTATGCAAATAAAAGCGTAAAACTTGTTTAGTTCTGATTGATTGACACAGGGGAATTCTGGATGGTTGATACAGCTGAGCCCTGATTGGTCAAAGCAGGTGAGCTCTGATTGGTTGGTTCTGGTGAGCTCTGAGAGTCTCGAAGTTAAAAACATGTGAGTTTGGGGGGAACTCAGCGTACACGTGTGACCTCTAGTCAGAAAATGGCCACTTGGGTCTGCTTTAAATTTAGGTCCAGGTAGCCATTCGGGATTCATCTTGAAGGATTGTATCTTTTAGGTTTATATTCGTTATAGGGACTAACCTAGAACAGCTGACAGTTACTGAGTGCTCCTTATGGCCCCAAATTGTGCTCAGTGTTTTACACACACAGCACTGAACCCTCCCAGCACTCTAGGAGGTAGACAGTGCGCATTTCCCATGTGTCACGGGTGTGGGGATTTGTAAAGCTGACTTGGCAGGTTGCTAGTTCATTTCTGTCTCCCTGATACCCAGATCAGCAGGATTCACTTGAGATTTATTTTAAAATATAAATTTGTAGAAGTTCACACAGCTAGCTAGGGGTGAAGACAAGATTTTAATCCAGGGATCCTGAGCTGCAGCCCAGAGTTGGGAAAAAACACACACCCCTCCCCAAAAGACGGTGGTTGGAGTAACATGTTTGTATTATTAATGCATGGATAGGATGCACCTTTTACCTGACATAACTGGGACAGAATTTATAATGCCATCATTTATATTTTTGTCACTTCCTTCTAGAAAAAGAATCAAAAGCTGTTATAAAAATGCTTACAATCTAAAAAGATAAAGTCTTTTTTTAAAAAAAACAAACTAAGTGAGGAGGCCAAAGTGAAACAAAAATAAAAGCAGGAAAAATCAACTGAAGCCGAGAGTAAACACTCGAAGGAGGAAAGTAGATTAAAAGAGTAAACTAAATTTGAGAAGGGCATTTGTTACACAAATAAAGCAAAATAATTGTCATGTAACTCCCTCTATTTGCCCAGTATTTGTCTGCTGCTCTGTGCGTTTCACATTCATTATTTCATTTTAACTTCCTTGATAGTTCTGCGAGTAAGCAGAAGAGATGGTCCTGTGTCCATTTTACAGATGTGGAATCGGAGACAAGGTGAAGTTGGCTCTCATGCCCAGGGTCAGCTGCTGAGAGGGTGAAGATGTAGAATGGGAGCTCGGGTCACCGGTTCTCATGTTCTCTGCCTCCATGTCTCCCTTTTAAGTAGCCACATGGAACGCTGTATCTCTTGACAATGAAAAGCAGGTAAGTATTCCTTCTCTCTAGGGTGGGTTAGAACTTTATTATGGTTTCTGGTATGAGCTTTAACTTCAAGCCTGTAACACTAGGTGAGAGATTATTATTGTCTACATGGTGGTCATTGTCACATGGCTCCACCAACCCAGTCACTTATCACAGCCCCTTGCACAAAAGTTGGCCTTCCTGGCCCATGAAGTAGATGCTAAATCTGTCTCCTAGACCACTGTATCTTCTAGTTAAAAAAAAAATAACATGTTAAAAATTTTAGTATGCTAGTGATTAAAAGATAATCTTGAATTTTAAAGATTTTGATGTTATATTATTAGTTCACCAGGGCTGTCATCACAAAGTACTGCAAACCGGATGGCTTAAGCAATAGAAATTTATCGTCTCACAGTTCTGCAGGTGGGAAGTCTGAAATTAAGTTACTGGCAAGATTGGTTCCTTCTGAGGACAGTGAGAAAGAATCCACTCCGAGACTGTCCCCTAGGTTCTGGTGTTTTTCTGTCAATCCTTGGTGTTCCTTGGCATGTAGAAGCATCACCTCAATCTGCCTTCATCTTTTCTTGGTATTGTTCCTGTGTGCATGTCTGTCTCCAAATTCCACCCCCACCCACCCACACACCTTTTTAAAAATAAGGACACTAGTCACATTGGATTAGGACCCACCCTAATAACCTCATTTTAACTTGATAACCTCTATAAAGACACTATCTCCAATAAGGTCACATTCTGGGGTATTAGGGGTTAGGACTTATGAATTTTGCAGGAGACAGTTCAACCCATTACATATAGCATGAACTGGATGCTCAACCACCAGAAGCAAGGCTGAAATCTTCACCTTCCGTGACAAACAGAAGACACCGGATTACAAAGCGAAAGCCTTCAGAGGCGAAGTGGAGAGCTCCAAGTCATGCTCTGCTCCCTCATTGCCACGTGCCATCTCTTCATCCCCAGTTCCTCCGTCTTGTCCCCACGTCCCTCCTCCTGCGGTTGTTTGACCTCTGCAGGGTCAACTGCTTCGGTAAGGACAAACGTCTCTTGACGTCGTCACCATTCTACACACCCCGACTCCATCCTTTTCATCCTTTAGCTGGCCTCGTTGGTGGGATGTTTCCACTTCCTTGTCCCGCACCGGACGTGCTGAAAGAATGCCCGAAGCCTCCACTGCCCACTGACAGTGAGTGAGGTTGGGACACGCGGTGACAACAAAGACAGCCCAGACGAGAGAGAGTGATTGCTGCCGAGGTGGCTCTGGCGATGCCCACCTGCTGCAGCTGCCGCAGAGGTGACGGCAGTTGACCTGAGCGATGGGGCTGAGGTGACGGTGGTGGAGGTAGAGGCTGCCAGCCCCCATCGTGGGGACCGCAGTGGGTGACAGTGGTCGAGGCGACTGCCGCTATGAGAACCACAAGCTTTGCCTGTGACTGGGAGGCACCACGGGGCGACGGTGAGCCCAGCAGCCGCTGTCAGACTCCACGGATGGTTCTTCTTGTTTTGACACTGTTATTCACCAGCTAACACTAATGTCCATAACCAACACTGGCGTGAACAATACATGCCCATTTAAGGAATCAATGGATGCTTGGACAATAAGGAGGCAAAGCACTGCCCACCCCAAGCATGAGCTCAGGGGGCCATTTGGAGCTTCTCAGCGCTGACCATTAGGCCTCTTCCCAGGACTCTGTTTCAAGGCACACAGCTGATAGATCATGAGACGTACTCTCCTTGGGGTTAGATCCACATAAGATGTACTGTAATCCCTCCCTCTTACCCACCGCGTCCAGGATCCTTAGGAGATGCTTTGCCAACCAGGTGTTAAGATAAGACGGTTTCATGTTTGTGTACCATAACTCATGTGATCTTTTTATACATGCTCAATTAGGTTCAGCCTTCTTGAAAAAACATGACTCCCCCCTGGGTGAGCCGGAGAGGGGAGAAGGGTATACAAGGGACAGTCAAAGAGAGACTGGCTCTTTGGACCACCCTGTCGGGATACAGAGAGAAGCCTGTGTCCTTAATAATGACCCTTAAGCTCCACCTCAACTTGTAGAAAAGGCCAGAGTCTCACACAGGAATTTGCAGTCCTGGGAAAGCAAGCGGGGCTGCTTCTAGACGGAGGACACACCGTGTTTCCAGGCAGGGAGAGATAATTGGGGTTCTATGTCCTGCACTGTGTGAAACATGTGGGAGGTTCCCCCCAAGATGATGATGATACAAAAGAAGATGATGATGGCAGAGTTTCCTGAGAAAATGAAGGTGACCCAGGATTGGACCTGCCAGCAGGGCTGGTGGTCAGCCAGCGCAGATGGGTACAGCTGTGCCATTGTAGAAAGACCGCAGATCTTTCTTCCTGCTGGGTAATGAAACCCCGAGTGTTTCCTATAACTGCTCGGAGCCCCAGCACTTTCCTTAATTCAGATCTCCCAACATAAAGTGTGAACATAGAACTGGATGGAGTGAGCAACCGTGCTGTGCCTGGTACCAGGCTCCAGTATTTCTAATATCACCATGCCTGTCGCAATAGGTTACTGGTTTGGGAAACAAATATCTTCCAATAGCTTCTATTAATACTGTTTTAAATACTTGTATATTTAAATGAGTTAAGGCACATACAGCTAGTAGACTGGTGCCTGCTTGTAGTAAATATTCAATGTGTATTAGTTATTATCATTATTATTAAATTTGATGATCCTTATTTTAGACCAAACGTGTCATTTAAGGGTGGTGAGAGTGGAACTGCTACACCTTTGTCTCTCAATATTTTCCTGCTTGACTTTCCCCAGCTTCATATTCGATTTCAATCTCCTTATCAGACTTAATTTGCATCATTCCGTCACCACAGCATTTCCTGGGGAATCTGACCTCAGATTATATTGAGATTTGTGTTTTTTGGTTTTGTTTTGCTTTTTCTAATTTTAAGTAATATGACCTTGGGCAAATCATTGAAGCTTTCTCCAGTACACTGGCTTCTTTGTCTGCAAAACTCTGCAAACCAGACCTCCTAAGAGAGAATGAGTAGGAGGGGTCTCCTGGGGACCCCTGCCCTGGCAGGGATGTCCTGCTGGGCGGGGCAGCCCTAGCCCCCTTCACACAGGTTACCTGGGCAGTGGCAGCTTCTACAGGTTCTCCTCTCCAGTCTTCTCTGACATCCAGCATCTTCTTGTACAAATCCACAAAACGGGGCCACCTGGGGGCATAGACCCCATAAATGCAAAATCACCCTTGCAATTCACAGTCCCTCCGCCTCGTGTTGCAGGTGGGGAGGGACAGGGGACTTCTATCACTTAAGCAGTCGCTTTCCTAGTAGTTTGATTCTGACCTGTTTGCTTTCCCCATCAGTCTCCCCTGCTGTGTCTTGGCCACCCTCTCCCTTAGTCTTGCCTAAGCCCCCGCAGGTGGGAAGCCACACAGCTGGGACTTGGACCTGGACACTTCCCTTCACTGGGAGGCTATAGTTGTCTTCCTAGCATGATAAAATCTGGACTCTTTCTCTTCTTTGTTTTGCAAGTATTTACATTCCTGGCAAAACCTGCCAGTGTAGCAGCTTCTAACATGGAAATTAAAGTAGGATATATTAGTCTATTTAAATGCAGTTCTCTTTAAATGAGGACCTTTTTCTCTGGATTTGATTTCTTTAGTATTCACACATTCTTCCTTCACTGCCCCATTATGTGGGTTACTCTATGTGTGACGCAGGGCTCTGAGCTGACGAGTCCAGGGTCTGGGTCACCCGACCATATCAGCGATAGGGGGTCTCCACCTCTGCTGTGTTCATGATGCAAACCACGATTTGTTTTTCTTATTTGTGCTTAATGGCAATTGCCTTTATTTTCCAAAATCAACCTTATTAGCTGATGAATAATAGTGTCCAAAACAAGAAGAACCATCCATGGAGCCTGCCAGTGGCTGCTGGGCTCACCATCTCTCCCCAGCAGAGGTCACCCTACCTGGAAAATTCCTACAACTGGCTTCTGTTCACCTAATCTACTGCTTCCAATGCAGTAGATTTGCAGAAAACAGGAGGCGGATAAACTTGTATACTCCTTCCCTAAATTTTCATGCACTTTATCTCTCTGAGCACCCAAGTTTTGCCCTATAGGCGGGGGCTCTGAGCCCCTGGATATCAGGAGTTGCCAGTGACTCCCTCCCTTGCACAGTAGCTTGCACGCTGAGCTGCTGTGTGCCTGTCGCACTCCACCCATGAGATCTTCTGCAAGGGAGGGATCCTGCCTTCTCCTCTGTATCTCCAACATCTAGTGGAGTCCAGCTCATGATGCCACTCAAGTAGATAAACAAATGCACACATGAATGTGTGAATACCAAAGAAATCAAACCCAGAGAAAAAGGTCCTCCTTTAAAGAGAACTGCATTTAAATAGACTAATATATCCTACTTTAATTTCCATATTAGAAGCTGCTACACTGGCAGGTTTTACCAGGAATGTAAATACTTGCAAGACAAACATTTAATGGTTAATGTATCCCATAGGATGCTTTTGTGAATAAGAAAAAAAAAAAGAGAGAGAGAAAAGTTTGTCCATATGCTATTCGAATGCCAGTCTCTTCCCATCAGTACCTCCCAACCCTAAATGTGCTGGGGTTTTTGCTTCTGTATTTGGCGGTGCCTTATTGCTCTGGGGACCCTGATCTGCCACCAAACCACATGACCTGAGTGATTCCTCCTTAGCCCTTTCTCTGTAACCCTCCCCAGGTAGAACAGACCACCTGGTGAGCCAGCCCCTGGTAAGTACAGGGGATGCACCTCCCAGCATGGCCAATGCTTTGTCTCCCCCATGGAGTCACCCAGATAGGGGACAGAGCTGAACTGGATGGTCACTTGGGCACAATGAGACGAGTGGAACCTGGGCCCTACTAACCCCATCCTTCCCCATCATGGGAAGAAGAACACTGCAACCTCTAATCTTGTCCTGGTGTGGGCCGGGGAGAGTCTTCTCTCCTGTTTTATTTGTGTCCAGATTTCACAAGAACTGACCTGCAGGAAGGCGTGCTCCACACGCAGGGGCGCTGCCCAGCCCCCTTGTCCCTGCCTTGTCTGGTTGTGGTGGCACCAGCTGGGGTTTGCCTGGCGCCATCTTCACGCCAGGCTTATACAGGAAGTTGTTATTTAAAGATAAGGGAAACCGCAGTTAACACCCTTCCTCTGTAATCCAAGGGAGTCTCGGAACTGCTAAGTCATTTCTGTGCTGGGCTGTGGAAGGGTAAGAGGATCCCCAGCCCGATTCTCCAGGGAAGCCGCTAGGGCCTGCGAGCTCAGGCGCCATCCCAGCTCCGGGCTCCGGCAGGAGCTTCCGGCTTCATGGGAAGTGGGCAGGTTGCATAAGCACGGAGCTAGAGGTGCCTCCCACAGTGACAGGGGACAACAAAACACCCAACTCTCTCTGCAGCCAAAAGCCAAGGTAGAAAGGGTAATTTAAAGCTAGAAAGGTATCATTTTCAAATGAAAAATTTGAAGGTAAATTGAGACACACACACACACACACACACACACACACACACACACACTATTCCCTGGGGATTAACTGTAAAAGTCACGAGGGATCTTTTTGGGATGATGAAAATATTCCAAACTGAATTATAAAGACAGTTGCACGACTTGGTAAATTTACTAAAAATCCACTGAATTGCATGCTTAAAACAATTTTATGGGATGTAAAGTATACCTCAACAAAGTTGTTTGTAAAAAATGAAAATGTTTTGCATGCTGCCTCATTATTTTAAATGGTCATACAGGTCTCACTGTCCCACAGAGAAAGGCCCCAACTCTCCCACATGGCCTAACAGGCTCTCCCAACCTTTGCCTGCCTCTCTTTCTGGCCCCTTCCCCTGCCAAGTCCCCACGTTCCCTCTCCCCCTGTGAACTGCTTCTAGTTCTCCAGTGTCCTCTGTCTGGAATGCCCATCCCTCCCTGCCCACCTGACCCCTCCTCAGTGAGTTAGGGTCACTCTATGAGTTAGAGCAGGTGTCCCTTCCTCTACAGAGCAATCGAACCACACCTGGTCTGCCAAGCTGGGCAGGGGTGTGATCACCAGCGTGAGACTGCTGGGCCCCACGAAGCTTGCCCGAGCCCTCTCCCCTGGGGCTTTGCTAACTCCTGCTGATCCCAGGGTCCTGGCGTCCTCAGAGGCACTGTCCACCCTCCCTCCCTCCCTCCCCTCGTCCCTCAACCCAGATACAACTATGGCCAAGACCAGCCTGGAGCAGTCAAGGCTCAGGATGTAGCCACGGTCAGTGAGGAGCTTGGACCACAGATTCAGCTCATCTCTGGCTGTGTGCCCCCCCCCCCCAAGGCTCCTGGTTCTCGACTTTGCTCCCAGCCTGCCCCATGAGGAGCACCAGGGCCACTTGCAAGGCTGGCTGGACCTTTCAAGGTCTAGACACGAGAGAATGAGACCCAGAGAGTGGCAACAGATCCCTCTCCCACCAGCGTAAAGTCCTTCCTCTGCATCTCCTTTCCCTGCCCGAGGACTGGCCTGGTCCTCACGCCTCTGCAGAGACCCCACCTGCTCCCCGTGGAAGGGGCCTCCCCTGAGCGATTCAAGCGGGCAGCCAGAGCAGAAGCCAGGCCAGATCTTGAAAGGCTTTTCTTTTTCATTTCACAGGTACTTGCTGAGTACCTGCTAGGTGCCAGGGACCACGCTGGGAGGGAGCAGCCGAGGGTGTCACCCAGGCCAGCTTCCTTTCACACTTTACCATCATGCGATTCACCTGGGGAACTTGGTGAAATACAGATTGTGACTCAGTAGTTCCGAGGTGGGGCCTGAGAGTCTGCATTTCTTGGGTGCTGCAGAGACACACTTTGAGTGGCACCTCTTACCGAGTGCTCTCACACAGAGTCACAACTTTGGCCTCACCTGGTTACTTGTTAGAAGTGCAGATTTTTAGGTCCTACCCCAGACCTACAAAATCAGACTCTGCATCTCCAGAACATCTCTAGATTTATATGCCCGTTAACACTGCAGAAGCACAGACCTAGAATACACTTCCCGCAGTGGGGTGGGCCTGGAGCCAATGGTTTTGCAGAGGTGACTATGATTTTAATGTGCACAGATCCTCATATGAGGTCTGGATGTCACGCAATGTCACGAGGGTGCACCATTCCCACAAACCAGGGGGCTGTCTGCGGAGAGGCTCTTGGTCTTGGGGATGGGGGAGCGGGAGCCGGCAGCTGGGTCTTCAGAGAACCATCATTTAATGGGCTGCAAGATCCACCAGAGGGAGACAGAGCCCAAGGCTTGGCTGCAGGACAGGCGTGAGCAGGAAGGGAGTCCTCAACTTTTTGTATATTACTTGTTTGTCTACACACACACTTCTTGATAGCCATGATAAAAATAAGTTGAAAAATATAAAGAAAAAGAGATGGAAAAATAAAGTTAGTAAGTGAGGATAGGGAGTTAGTAAAGTTCAAAAGGAAAGGTTTTAGAGGCAATATAGGAGAATATCACTACATATATACACAAATGTTTATAAAAATATGAACTATGGGAGAGTATCATATCTACTTGGGGTAGGAATTTCTTAAACGATTTCTTAAACAAGACATGGAAAGCACTAACCATAATGGGAAAAGTTGACAAATTAGAGTGCATTTAGCAAAAAATGAGAACTTCCATTCACCCATAGACACCTTTAAGAAAGTAGAAAGGTGAGTCAGAGTAGGAAAAAAATATTTGCAACATATTTACAAAAACAGGTGAAAGGGCTTGACAAAGGGCTTTTGTCAAGAATACATAGTGAAGCCCCTCCATATCGATAAGAAATAAAACCTAGGAAAAAAAATGAACAAAAGACTTGAATAGACATTTCACAAAAGGGTAATCTCAAAGGCCAGTAGAAAAAGTGTTTTCAACCTCATTCATAACCAGAAAAAATGCAAATTAAAGCCACATGAGATACCGTGACCTATTCACCCATGTTGGCAAGATGGGTATGCGCTCCTGGAGGGACTGTGAGTTGGTAGAGACACTCTGAAATAGAGGTGAGAATGTTCTAGTAAATTGGAGCCACACATGCTGTATGACCCAGCAGTTATGCCCATAGGTATAGACCCAGCAGACAATCATGCACATAACCCCAAGGAGACATGGACAAGAACACTCCCAAGCCAGAAGTGACTCAAGTGTAAGCAACGGAAGAGGCCTTAGTAAGTCATGACATCATCATGCCAAACAGCGATGAAAATGTGTGCACTAAAGCCAAACATATGAGGAGATTTGTAAAAACATGTTTTCATGTTTTTATAAATGAAAAAACATTTTTCATTTGTTAAATGCAGGAGGAGCAGACAGAAAAGAATACCTATTGTATGAATCTGTTGAAACAAAGTTTAAAAATGGGTAAAACCATGTATAGACACTAAAAGCCTGATATTAAAAAAAACTATAAAAACATTTAAGCTAATCATTAAAAACTTAATAAATATAAGTTGGCTTGGTGGTTAATTTTAAATGTCAACTTGGCTGGGGCGTGGTTCCCAGGTATTTGGTCTGATCTATTATTATGGATGTGAGGGTGTTTGGGGATGGGATTAACATTTAACTTGGTGGACTTTAGGTAAAGCAAGATTGCTTTCCATAATGCGGATGGGTCTCGGTTGAAGCCCAGAGTGGCACAAAAGACTGACCCCACCGCTGAGCAAAAGGAAATTCCACTGTCAGATGGCCCTTGGTCTTGAAGTACAACATGCAATCCTACCAGGGTCCCCAGCCTGCTGGGCCACCCTGCAGATTTTGGACTTGCCAACCTCCATAATCCCGTGAGCTGGTTCCCTAAAATAAGTCTCTCTCTCTCTCTCTCTCTCTCTTTCTCATTCTCTCTCTCTCTTTCTCTCTCTCTCACACACACACCCTATTGTTTTCTTTTCTCTGGAGAACCCTGACTAATCCAATAGATAAAAGTGCTCAAATATATTAAGAAAAGATGAAATACATATAAGTGACAAAGGCTTCGAGCCAAATAAACAAGCATGAGAGTAAAAGATAAAAGATGGAAAGGAAAGGCAATTAAAGGGGAGAGTTTGAAAATGAACCAAGAGATGAGGTTGATGACCAGGAATAAAAGTAAGGACAAAACCAGGTGAAAGTCGAGAGTAAAACCTAATATAAAAATGATTGAAGGGAAAATTCTTTAAGAGAAAACAACAGCCAAAAGTCTGGCAATGGAAATGAGAGAAGGAAGTCAGCTAAATGCAGAAGTTTGTGCAACTGAGTGTGGGAAGAATTGATTTTCCCACGGTGTCGAGAGGCATTGCCGTGGTAACAACCTTCGCAGGCAGGCCCTGGCTCAGCCTCCTCTTCCCTGCTGTCTGGAGGAGCCGGCCCCTGCGTGCCCGAGCCTGTCGTGACCCACAGTCTAGAGCTGACCAGGCTGCCCCAGAGGAGCCCCGCAGGCCAACAGCCTGGCGTCACCTCGACATCTCTGCTTCCTTCCTTCTGGTCTCTTTATCCTCTTGCGTATTTTTGTATTTACAGCCTCCAGATCGTACTCTGCATAAGTTTTATATTCTGCTTTTTTTTGCACGGTGTCATGTCGTATTATCGGAAATTTTCCCAAGGCTTAGTGTTTTATGGGTTCACACCATTCCATCATAAATCATTCACTGGTTGTTTCACAAATATTTGTTGAGTGCGCACGACATGCCAGGTGCCGTATGGCTTGTGCAAGGTCACCCGTAATTAGCAGCTGAGTGGAACAAATGGGAAAGTCAGTGGACACAGGGCAAGAGGCTCAGCAACCTTCAGCTGATGTCCAGTTCCCAGCTGGTGCAGGCCACCGTGCCTGTGTGGACGGAGGGACGTCTCTGTGTTGTGGTTGGCTCCAGATCTGGATCTGAACACCAGAGCAAGTCCAAGCATCTGCTGTGGGTTTCTGGTGGAGGCAAACGATAGTTTTAGGGCCAGCACTTGTCAGAGACAACATGCACTCTGCTGCCATGAGCTGCTTACTTTTCCTAAATTTATCCTTTTCGAATATATAATACATACACACCGTGCTACATTCAAGATAGTATAATAATATATACAATGAAAAGGCTCATTTCCACCACTTCCTCATGTGTCAGGTACATATTAACTATTTTGATTAGTTTTTTGTGTGTATTATCCTAGAGTTCCTTTATGTAAATACAAATATACATGCTTATTTTTTCCTTCTTAATGCAGAAAGGTCGTCTACAGTTTACATATACATTTTTAACTGGCTGTTTACATTTAACTGTATTTCCTGGAGATATTTCCATATAAACCAAGACCTTCTTTCCTTGCTCTTCATTACTCCGATAGCCCTGTTCTCCTGTATAGTATTCCATTGTAGGGCTAAACATAATTCTCTGACCAATTTCCTATTAATGAACATTTGAGTTTATCATTAAGGTTGTTACCCCAAACAGGGTTGCATGACTAACCTTGTGCATATTGTAATTTGTACACGTAATTGGGTCAAAGAGTACGTGCATTTGTAGTTTGTAGTATATATTGCCACCTTACCTTCCATAGAGGCTGTGGCAACATCCATTCCCACCATTCTTGATCCCACCTTTAACCAGGGACCCAGGATGACTGTTTATTGAGTCAGCAACCCGAGCATCTGCCCCACACCAGGCCCCGTGCTAAAGAACTGCTCTGCAAAGAAGAGTAAGATGCCATTGGCACCTACTTTCAATGGAAGGAGAGACAGATCTATTGGACAATCGAGGCAGTATGAGATACAGCACTATAGCATGATGCAGGAAGTGCTATGAGAACATAGACAAAAGGGTGATTTATTCTGCAACATCCTTGGAGGAAGCAACAATTGAGCTGGGCCCTGGGAGACAAGCAGGTGATCAAGGGGAGAGAGGCATTGGAGATGGGGGGGACTATGAACAGTAGCCCATGTGCTTGTTCCGAGAACCATGGGTAGAGTGGCATTGATCAACCTGAGGGGCTCAGGAAGAGGAGGAATGCAAACACCTGAGAGAGAGCGGGCGGGGTGGCTCACGCCTGTAATCCTAGCACCCTGGGAGGCCGAGGCGGGCGGATTGCTCGAGGTCAGGAGCTCGAAACCAGCCTGAGCGAGACCCCGTCTCTACTAAAAATAGAAAGAAATTAATTGACCAACTAAATATATATATAAAAAATTAGCCGGGCATGGTGGTGCATGCCTGTAGTCCCAGCTACTCGGGAGGCTGAGGCAGGAGGATCGTTTGAGCCCAGGAGTTTGAGGTTGCTGTGAGCTAGGCTGATGCCATGGCACTCACTCTAGCCTGGGCAACAAAGTGAGACTCTGTCTCAAAAAAAAAAAAAAAACAACAAAAAAAACACCTGAGAGAGACACTAGCTGCCTGGGGCTTCATCTTGCAAGAAATGAGCAGTCCTGGCAGGCTTGCTAGCAGCAGTGACATGGCCAGATTCCCCCCCAGACACACTCTGCCCAGTCCCTTCCTCTGAACCCCAGCACCCCAGGAGCATGGCAGTGTGTGTCCATTTCACCCCAGGGAATCATTTGATGCCTTAAACTCAGACCTCACAATAGCTCCAAGTAGGTCAGTTATGATGCAAGACCTATTTGTGACTGTCCCTTGGGCTCCCATTAAATTGTCTGAGAAACAAACTCTGGGCATTAACACCTCCCCGCCTAGCCTACCGCTGAAGGATGATCAGAGAATGTGACAATGGCTGTCAGCAGACTGGGAAACAGAGGGCTAGAGACCTAGGCGCACAGGAAAAAAAGGAGGGAGAGGGGAAGTCAAACAAGAAGAATGAAAAGCAAGTCAGAATAGCTAACACCAGCTACTCCTTTCAGCATGAAGATCCCCCGTGTTTCCCAGAGGATCTGAGATCTGCGTCACCACTAGGGTTAGTGTGACCTGAGCTTCAGCCAGGTTCATTCAAGTCAGAAAGAGCCCAAATGGCAGAGTCCACTTGGGGGCCACCCCTGTTCCTGGGGGATCCCAGACTGGCCAGTGTAGACTCCCCCTTTGTGATGTTTTGTTTCCAGGGTTCTAACCCCCCTGCTCTCTGCCTTCCAGGATATGGACCAAATTCTGCACATCGGACCCACGCATTGCCCTCGGGAAATACTCCCCCTTGGAAAAAGAGATCATAGTAAGTACCCTGAAGTTCACACACAGAGAGACTCCACTCGAGCCACCCAGTTTAGCTAGGGAGAGTCAAGGGTTCAAAGCCACCAGCAACAGAGAAACCTCCCAGACAGTGGACTCAGGTTGGCTGAGTCTGCTAGTGGCTGTTACACTTGCACAGCAAAATAGCCCTGTTTATGAGTTCTAATTAGAAACATAACTTTAAGTGATAGCAAATGATGAAAACTATCACTCCTTGAGCCCCTACTATGCACTTACTTTCACATATATATATTGTCTTGTTGAGGCCTCACAATGACCCTATAATGTCAACAACATTCTTTTGAATTCATAATAGGTAAGAGGAGACATAATAGGTAGTAGGATCTGAACCCAGACTTTGACCCCCAAAGTCCACCCTCTTTCCCACTACATAGAGGCTCAGATACTTTCAGCAATGGGGAGAGAACCAGCCACTAGCTAATTCTTTCCATGGTGCTGTCCGCCCCTGTGCCGTTGAGATTTTAACAATTCTCTTCCCATTGTCAGCATCTAGGTGGCATTCATACCATAGCAGCAAGAAGGCTTTTGGCTTATAAGCAAGAGGAAGAATGGAAAATGCTCAAGAAACTACAGTTGCTGTCTCCAGACTATAAACAGGCAATAGAATATAAAAAACAACATTCCTCTGATTGTGCTACTTGTGGACCCCTAGGAAAAATATGGACAGCAAAGGTGATTGTGCCCCTAGAGGAGCTTAAAATGCCAGAAAGAGAGAAGATGAACATCCACAAGCACATAGAAAGGATGCAGATTGCTCGAGCCCTGAGAAATGAGCAGCTACGGCCCGACATTGAAAAGCTTAGAGGTACCTCGTTTCTATCCGGAGTGGGCCTGGGCTCGATCGCTAAAGACAAGGCCAGGCAAGGGGACACCTGTGACCCCAATTGTTACAATAAGGTTAATCAAGAGAAGAAAGAGGAGGCAGAAGGCAAAAACACAGAAAAACGAGAAGTAAAAATGAACGTAGTTTTCAAGTCAGAAGAACCAAAACCAAAATTAACATGCAGCGCAAATGATTGCAAACCATTTCTCTCCACAAAGAAACGGGAGCGATCCATCACGGGCCTAACAAACCGAAATCTCTTCGACTTAGCTGAATTCCCTGGAGATTTAATGCTAATGAATCAGGATTTTATATCACAGAGAGCCCACCCAAGTGATGCGATAAACACCTTCAATCTGGGAGAAGAGAATATCTGGAAACAGCTCATGTACAAAGGGGCTCCTTATCATTACTAACATCTTATTTATTCCCCAGGGTAACCAAGTGTCCTGGTCCTTATTACTCCTGCCAGCTATGCCCCAGGCTCCTTCTCACTCCATCTTCTTCTGGGACCTTGGCTTTTCCTGCCTGATCTCCAGGGGGTCCGCAAAGTAAGAACTGGATGCTGAGGCAACTCTTGGCTGTCGGCTCAAGCCTTCCTTTTCACCTACTTCCATTGGGGCCTGTATCAGTTATCTATTTCTGTGCAAGAAATCACCCCAAAATCTAGTGCCTTAAAACAACTATCATCAATTTAACTTATAATTCTGTGGGTTAGTAATTTAGGCTGGGCTCAGCTGGGCGGCTCTCCTGCTCTCACCTGGGTTCCTCATGTGCCTGCAGCAAATTGCAAATAAGTTAGCTGCCTCTCCTTCTGGGGGCTGGCAACCCTCAGCTGGGTCAATGGGGGTGACCGAGCCACATTTTTCTTCCTCCAGTAAGCTAGCCCAGCCTTGTTCACAGGGCCATTGTGTGGTCCAAGAGAGTGAGTAGAAGTTTGCAAGGCCTGTTAAGATAAATGCTCAGAACTGGCACGCAGTCACTCTTGCCACATTGTGTTGGCCAAAGTAAGATGTGAGGCCAGTCCAGATGCAAAGGTGGGTAAATGAACTTCATCTCTTGATGGGAGGCTGTATTGCAGAGGGCATGAACTCAAGGAGGCAGGTCCAGGAGTCCCTGGAGCTAGGACCAGCCTGTGGCCCTAGTCAGGAAAAGAACACTATTCAAGGAGGAGGCTGCCCAAACCTAAAAGTTAGAAGTCTGTTCCATGCCCCCACTTCCTGCCTGGGTGCACTGTTTCTGCCTTGGAAGACAGAGCCAGCCCACCCCAGCCTTTTCTCATCGCCATCCTCCTCTTCAATTCAGCCAGGCGATCCACAGCCTCCCCATCAGGTCAAGGACAGCCACAGGGCAGGCATGGCTGTAGCATGCACAATTCCTCTGGGCATGTCAGGAGGAGGTGCTGAAGGTCTCTGGGGAGGGACAAAGGTCTTGCCTGTGCCCCAAGGTGGCAGATCTAGGAGACAACAAATAAGGCAGTAAGACCCTACCACAACTTGCGCTCTTTTTCATACTGAAGATTAGATGTCAACAAGGAGGATGGCCCAGAGAAGGGCTGGCCCTTCCAGGTATGCTACAAGTTATGAAAATGAATTCTCATGGGAGGGAAGAACTGGAAGCTAGAAGTTGGCTAACGTCTCTCCCCTGTACACTGCCTCCTCTCCACACACACACACACACACACACACACACACACACACACACACACACGTATCCCTGCTCATTGTGCAGTTCCTACGACAGCTGTCGGCTCCTCACTAGTGATCCTCACACCTGCTCTGAGCCACCCATACAATCAGCCATTCTGTCAGAATTTCAGGGCTAGCTCCCACTTCAAATCAGAAGCACAACACAGCCCACGTAGGACCCGGACATTCAGCTGAAGCTCCTTGCCTTTCTCTTTCCCAGTAATCAAGACTGAAGACAGCTGGCCACTGTCCATGGCCTCAGACAACTGTTCCAAACTGTGGGCTTGCCCACAATGGGCAGGCCATGTTATTGATCCTGAGATATTCAATGAAAGACTGAGATGCCCATTAAACTCTGGGCTATGGACATGGGGGGACAGCCAGACCCTGAGCTGAACAGGGAAGTGGGCCCTCCATCTCCCAAGTATCTTTGGGGTCAAACTTGAGTTCCAGGCATGGGTATGAGCTGCAGCATCTTTGGATATTTAGAACAAATGGGGATTCCCCCCACCCCAAGACAGAAATCTTATCCTGAGTCTAAGCCAGCACATTCAGCATCTGAGAAGCTCCACACATTCACTTATTGTTTGCATCTGAAGTACACAGGGATCCCCCACTGTGATTACCCCCAGAGGTAATCACACTCTGTTCTCAGAGACTCCTACAGAGTTGGGCAGACACTGAACCTGTCCACTGGAACATGCAGCTACCCACAGCAAGGCCTGGTTCCTCTCCAGCTCCCACCTCAGGGTTTCTCACCATCAGTTCATTCAGAGCCCCTACTCCCCTGCAAGCAGAGCGAGAGTCATTAGTAGTGGGCTCCACCCTCTCTTGTTCCTCAGAACAACTCCTCTGGCCACAGCTGCGGGTTAAGAGAAAAGCATCTTGAAGTTGTATTAGTAGCTGCTATGGCCGAGATTTTGTTGTCCCAAAATCATCAGTGGATTTTGACTAAAGAATCACTGTAAGCCAAAGAAATGGGCCAACTTTTCAACTGAGGCAGAGTAAAAAATGTGGGGGGAAGGAAAATATTATTTCCAGTGCTGATATAATGTCCTACATATGTATAAAATTGTGAATATCAAAGCATCATCTGAAAACTCAAGCCAGTTTGAAAAAACTAAAAACTATTTATCCGGACCCTAAAAATTGCCAAGATAAGCTATACAATGCAGTAGAAAATTCTCTGGAGGAGAGACGAGTAAATCAGTGCTTTTCTTATGGCTCTGCTGTCAACCATCTGTGTGGCATGGGTAAGTCTCTAGTCTCTGTGACTCAATTTCCCCATCTGTTAAATGAGTGCATTGAACTAGATAGCTATCAAGGTCCAGTTCTATGATTCATTTAATTAGCTGTGTTTGATGGAGTTAGTGGTTGACTAAATACTTGTCCACTCCTCAATGTCTTCTTAGTGTGCACAGTGACAACCTAAGTATTGTGCTATAAGAAGGCCAGGTGGTGCCAGTGTAGAGATATTTTCACTGAGTCAAATTCTCTGAGATTCTGAAGTCACCTCTCGCAGTAAATCCAACCCTTTGGAAAGGGAAGGGGTAAACATGAGGCCAACATGTTGTCCTACTAGCTGCTGTTGATAAATCTGATACTAATTCCAACAAACATTAATTACCTGGAGCCATCCAGAAATAACTCACAGTTAACCATGTATGAGTGTGTGCCACCTTTTAGGAAATGTATATGAAAATAAATGTAGGTTCAGATTTGAATTTTTAAAGATTCCCAAACTGCCCTGGAATAAGCATGTATTTGTCCTAACCACTCACCTGGAGTTACACAAATACATCCAGATGATAGTGTTTGATAACGAGGTAGGTGACCCCAAGGCTCCACAAGAGTCTTAAGCTCAGCAGAGTATGCTAATGATGATATGGGATTCAGAAAGCCTTTGGACACTGGCGCTGAGACAAAAGAGACTCCTGGTAATGAGTCATCTAATCTGAAATTTCTAACAACCCCTATTCCCTGAAAACTCTGATTAGCCATGCAGCCTTGGGGAACAAGTGATAGACTACATTTTTACCAAAAGTCTAGTATCAGGTTATCCAATAGACAAAGGCAAAAATAGGTGTTAGATAGATAGATGAATGGATTAAAGGAAAAGCATCCAATAGTTGATTTTCAAATAAGCTTAAAGTTAGTCATTACTGAAAAAGTCAGAACTTCTTTGGCCTTCCTTACTCATATAGTTTGGCATTGGTGTTATTTTGAGTTGCTTTCGGAAACAGGCCCATCAGCTTTCCCATTCTTGGAGCTTATGCAGGTTTTAATCTGGTCGCCCCAAGACTCAGAAGAGCCCTGTGGGGTCAGATGGGACTCATCTAGGATGCTGGTGTCTGCAGTGGGTGACCGAGCTGGGGTCAAACAAGCTGGGGGCGGGGTTCCGAGGCAAAACATCTGGTCAGCACCTTGGACATGGCTGGGCTTCCAGCTTCATTTCCTGAAGATCCACTCTGTGCTCCTTCTATAATCGCCCCCTGAACTGGCTGCCTTGCAATCTTCGGGGATCCCTTGGCAACCTGACCTTGCTCCTTCTATCTCACCAATTCTATCTCACCCTTCCACCTGTCGTCTGTCTACCGGTATTATCCACTGCCCGAGGAGCCCTTTCTGTAACCAGTACCTAGGCCCAACTTAACTGCCCTACCTCTAGTACCTAACACACTGTATGTACCGCAGTAAACAATTATATAATTGTAATGAGCTGAAATTTATATTCCCTAAGAGCTGGCACCAGAATTTATCTTAGGGTGAATTGTCTTTCTTGGGGGAAAAGACCTTATAATTTAGGCTGGAAGGGGCTGAATTATAAAGGAAGTCTCCTAACAACAGAGGAATGCTTAGACTCTTTGCAGGAGGAAGTGAGAGGAATTTTTATTTTTCTCCTGCAAAGGAGAGGAAGAAAGAAGGGAGGAGAGAAGCTAGTGAGAAGGAATGAGGCTGGGCACTGCATGGGGGTGAAGGGCCGTGTGACACCCCCACGTGGCAGGGAGGTGTGGGCTGGAGTTTGTGAATTGGGGCAAGGGCTGGGTTTCCTACCAGGCAGAGAGTTCAGAAGAAGACAACATGTGTGGATACAGTGTCTCAGAGAAGGACGTCTATCAGAGTTGGCAGAAATACCAGGGAAGGTTTTGGACTGCAAGCAGGGTAAAATTGGGAAGTTGAGCCTGCCTCATCAAGAGCCTGAGAAGACAGTGAACTCAAGCTGGATTTTGGGTTACAGACTAAATGAACGAGTGAACGAATGAGTGAGTGAATGAATGAAATGTAGGTACTTGGAAGTGGAGGCAGCCTGAATATTGGGTCAGGCATTCATTGTGGCAGTCACCCAGCTGTTTGCTTTAGTCGGCTGAGCGTGAGCACAGAGCATGAACACCAGTGGAGACCGGCTGGTACCATGCTCTCTTTCTGGAGACGGCTCCCTCTGTAGAAGGACCCGCCCAGGTTCACCTGTTCCTGATCAGACTGGAATGACCGTGTGTGTGTGTGTGTGTGTGTGTGTGTGTGTGTGTGTGTGTGTATGGCTTGGACTTCATCTTGAACAAACTTATAAATAGTTGAAGAATGAGGCAAATACTCATAAATGATAATACCAGGAGCCCCCCCATCCAACCTTATCTCAAAATCTCCAGTTTTAGTCAGCAGGCTCCCGAGTGCCCTGAGACAGCATGCTGAGAAGTCGTCAAAAGCCCGGGCTGCGGCGGCAGCAGACGTGGGTGGGAACAGCCGCCCGTTAGGTGGGGCGCCGAGGCGTCTTGGCCACGTTTCTAGACGTCTCTCAGACTTAGGTTCCTCGCCCGCCAGTGGGGGCGATGATAGTGTCTTCCTCACGGGGATGTTGGGGGATTAAGTGAAATAGCCCCTGGGGGAGACTCAGAAGAGTCCATCAAGCATGAGGCTTGGTGAAATCAGAGGAGCGAGTGAGTCTTTGCTTTGAGCTAGGAACAGATAAACGTGGCGCTGCCGGGCCCCCTCTTCCACGATGTGCAGGGAGAAGAGGAGGCTGCCAGTCTGGGGGAGCACACAGTGAAAGGCCAGGGTCAGGTGAGGGGGTGTCAAAAGAGAAGCAGGGTCAGCTTCCCAAGTCGGGTTCTCCTCTCCACTGCCTCGCAGGCCTATGAGCCACTCCTGGACCCTTCAATAAACTCCTTCAGCGTCTGCTCAAACTACCTAAAGTGTATTCCTGTTGCTCGAACCGAAAGGATATTTACTGAGGTAAAAGCAAGTGCTTTTTGTCAGCATTCTGTCTACATGGAAAAGAGGGGTATATGGAGATACAGAATATATTAATATATAAAAATACATTGGTTTGATACAGAAATAAAGATATAGATACAGATATTTGTATCTTTATCTACAGATATACAGATATTTGTATCTTATATCTACAGATATAAATATCTTTATAGATAAAGATATTTTATACAGATATAAAGATATAAATACCGGTTGGGCTTACTGCCTGCGTCATCATTCTTTGAAAAATGAATAATGCGTAAGAAGTGCGGACTCAGATTGGCTGGCCAATCAGTTGGGTCACTAACCCGATTGTAATTGTACTGTAATAATAGCGAGTAGGTTCGTTCACTAAAACACTGCACTTTCATTCTGTTAGGAGATGATGTCTTCCCAGAGGCGCCCCAGATAAGTTTCAATAGAAAACAGCAGGGCGCGGTGGCTCACACCCGTAATCCTAGCACTCTAGGAGGCCGAGGCAGGCGGATCATTTGAGCTTAGGAGTTTGAAGCCACCCTAAGCAAGAGCAAGACCTTGTCTCTACTAAACAGTTAGAAAGAAATTAGCTGGACAACTAAAAATAGATAGAAAAAATTAGCCGGGCGTGGTGGCACATGCCTGTAGTCCCAGCTACTCGGGAGGCTGAGGCAGGAGGATCGCTTGAGCCCAGGAGTTTGAGGTTGCTGTGAGCTAGGCTGACGCCACGGCACTCACTCTAGCCTGGGCAACAGTGTGAGACTCTGTCTCAAAAAAAAAAAAAAAAAAACCAGCTCCAGGAGCCCTCAAAAATGTTAACATGAACAACCTGTAAGTGGCGACCGACAAGGTCAGATCCTACCTCGAACATCCACGGCAGCATCTGCAGTCAACTTTGCACTCAAAGCAAACGGCATTAACAGCGTCTCCTCTCCATAAACACTGTGGAAAGTTTCGTTTTCTACATAGCAGGACCATAAGCAGTATTTGTAGGCTGACTGTCACTGCCAGCGAAGCAGAGCCCAGGTGATGGAGAGCTGGCTGTGCACGTGGTCCTGAGCATTCTCGGGACAGCGGGAGAGACTTCTGTCCCTCACGTTCATCTCAAAGACAAACCCCAGCTCGGTGTGTCCAAAGTGATACACGGCCTGCTCAGAATGTAATGTGGCAGCTGCAAACAGCACAGATCACAAGTGTGACCACCCCACAAACAAACAACATGGGCGTTTTGTTTTGAGGGCAGCAGAGGTCCCCTACTCTGGAGACGAGCTAACATGGTTGGGGTAATTTACATGGAAAGAGACCCCTGAGAGGTCCAGCCTCGTGTCTGACACTGTCCACCCAGCCGCACTGCTCCAACCCGGCCCAGTGCACATAGCCCTGCACCAGCGATGCCCAGAGGGCCCTCGACCAAGCATCTTCCTCCCTCTGCCCCTCAGCTCACCACACTGGGGGGACCCCCGCCTCTGCTCCCTGCACCTCCTGCTCAGCGCATCCTCCTCCAGCCTCCCCAGCTTCCCCCAAGCTGGAGGCCAGGCCTGGGCTCCACCTCACTGGGAAGCCTGTGTGGCCAGTGCCGCTGGGCGGGGCCCAGACCCCACAGTGTCTGCAGCTTCCCCGCCCTCCTGATGGACGAGTCCTGGGCACAGAGCTGCTTCTGCTGCCCTGGGGGTTCCGTGAGCTGGTTCAGTTCTCTACGGAATGTGAGTCTCCAGGGACAGAGAATGTGCCTTTCAGCCTGTGCAGAGTGACCCACAGGATCGACACTATCGTCACTTTCTATGAGCTGTAAGTATCTATTTTATATGTAAATATGTGTTTGTTTGTATATATTTATACATAAAGTTGTGCATCATACATTCTGTATATTATACACTACATATGGTATACATTTTGCGTGACACTAGAAGATGCCAAAGGAATTACAGTAAAGTCAACAAGAGAAAGATGGTAGATTCTAAGAGATATATATTAATACCCCAACATCAAGATGG